GCATTTGCAAGATGCTTGCTCAGGATCTAAAGCGGGTTTTAGCGAGAGTCATAGCCCTGGCGGATTTCCCCCGTCAACAACCCCTGGTCGATTTGTGGAGGGTGTCCCCCTTTGGGGCCCGGAAGGTCGCTTGGTGCCGTAGGTTGTGTTTGAGGCTTTTGAGCAGGAGTTTTTGGCACTTTTAGCTCTTAGGGCACGTCTGGCGAGGTTGACCGGAGAAACCACGGCCATGCCTCTAGTGGATTCTCCCTTGTAAGATGGGACTTCCCCCCGAGGAGAAACATCCCGCACGTTCATAGAATATTGTCATGTTGCTCGGGGCTTTCATCCAATTGGGCAGGTTCCTTGAAGTGCGTAGGCTTTTGGAAGCACGGGATCACGCAGCCGACAAGTAACTGTGGATCGACAAAAGCCTGCAGCGGGTGGTTTGTCCTAGTATTAATAGGCAACTGTTGCAAGGTGGATTTTGTGACAGAAGCCAACTGGAAAGACCATTATTGAGAAGACGATTTTAAGGTTGCAAAATAGCAAGTCCGGTTTTTCTGAGGATCATCAGATGTTACGCAGCCGGCTCGAAGGCTGAGGTTGCCCCCGATTGGTGGTTTGGATTGGCTGGCATGTGGTTTAACTACGTACTAGATGTTCACACATACGGTTGAAGCCCGAAATTATTGCAAGTGCGGAGCAAAGAAATAATGGCACCTGTCACAACAAGAAGCACAGCAACATGACATCTGCGGCCCCCCCTCCCCTGATTCAATGTTGAACTTGCAATATATTGGGCCTCGGAAGAGGGGCTACGCGCTTGGCTTCAACATTGTACCTGGGGGTGCGGGGTCCGCACGCAGCGGGCGATGCCATAGAAGTGGTGTCAACATCCCACGTGGTGGTACTTGCAATATTTAGGGCTTCCACAGTAGCTGTCCTTTTTTGGGAGACAGATGGCACTGGTTTAGTTTGGTTTGACTCCATTCACCGGGGCCATCTATTCTTCAACAAGGTTGCCTCTGGTTTCATGTGGCTTTCTCCAAGCCAAGGAAGAGCAACCGCTCGCTGCGCCAGCAGCGGATCCACAGCGAGCGCCAGCGCCAGCTGCGGCAGATACAGCAGCAGGAGGCCCGTGGAAACATCTCACCGTCATATTAGGAAACACAGGCACTGTGTGTTTTGCTTGCGTTCTATGAATTGATACCTACATCATAGCATGTTTTCCCATCACATCACCTTGCATGACATCGCATCACATGACACTGAATTACATCGTTGCAAATAAGTGTAAAGCACGTATCGAGTCCTATACATAGATACATACATACATCATGTTGTAGGTGTGTATGTATATGTACGTGTATGTGTATACAACATATTGTATATATATATATATATGTATATGTATATATATATATATGTGCACCATCTTGCTTTGGGATTAGTGGACAGTTTCTTCGACTCTGGGGGCTGCAATTTGCAACTTGGACGCAGGTGTCCCTTCCTGGGCTTCTGCGCAGCATGGACTCGGATGCGCAGGCGGAGTTGGGTTTGTGTCTTTGAGGGCTTTTGGCTTGAGGTTGGTTGAGACAAGTCGAGTAAAACACCAGCTTGCTACTTTCTTTGTTTTGTTTGAGCCACGCCTTGAACACGGAAGATTGGTGTTTGTTTTTTGGAGCGTAATTACCTTTTGCAGGTTGGTTGAACGGAAAGCCAAAAGTAAAGTCACTGATTTTTTGCGAGGGGTCCAAGCCACTGTTTTGGCACACCCAGTAGGCTGTGGCAACAGAGGGACTCGTCCCTATGTGTCCCTCTGAGGCTTTAAAAGATGCTTGCTGGCACCCACCACTCCTTGAGAAAGTCTTTGCCTACGATCTCTCTGCTCGAGGGCAAAACGAGACGATCGACTAAAATTCACCTACCCCAAAATGGTACCATTGGTTTTGACAAACCACTGACAAATGTGTACACATTGCCAAATTTGCACCACAACGTGAGCCCCAGTATAGTATGAGCTGGACGCCCTGCAGCCCCAACCAACGACCATTCCTGGTTGCATGTGTTGCTTGTGGATTCAAGGGCAATAGCTTATATTTTTAGCAGGGCTTTGGCGGTTGCAACCCGAATGTTTAGAACATTACCCAAGGAGCTCAGGCGTGCCTCAGAAGTAAGCCAGCCACTTCACAAGATTCGAAGTGGAGTGTCACAAGGTTGTTCCCAGCTAGAAGATGATGCAACCAAACACGGTAGGAAACTCTGTTTTCCGCTTTTCGTGAGGACCCACTTTTAAATTTTCTTTTTACGTTTTGCACTCCCTTCAGTCCTGAAGACGGGAAGGGTGACAAAATGAGGCAACCCTTTCTAAAGAAGGCGGAAAGTGCCAACATCCCATATTTTAGCTTAACGACATTACAGGCCTGTTTTCTTATGTGCATCCCTTTAGAATTGTCCCTTGCCCTTCCCCTCTAAGATCTCCCCCCCCCCCCCCGCCGTCCCCCCTGAGATCTTCCCTTTTCCTCCCTAAGATTTTTTCCCCTTTCCCTGTTGAGATCCTTTCCCCCCTTTCCCCCCCGAGGCCTTTCCCCCCCTGAGATCTTCTTCCTTTCCCTGTTGAGATCCTTTCCCCCCTTCCCTTTCCCTTTGAGATCCTTTCCCCCCTTTCCCCCCCAAGGCCTTTCCCCCCCCGAGATCTTCTCCCTTTTCCTCCCTTCCCCCTTTCCCTGTTGAGATCCTTTCCCCCCTTTCCCCCCTAAGGCCTTTTCCTTCCCTGAGATCTTCCCCCTTTTCCTCCTTCACCTCCGAAGATCGTTTCCCCCCCAAAGATCTTTTTCCCCCTTCCTAAGGTCTCGCTTCGCCCTTTCCCACCCTAAGATCCACTTTCCCCCCTTCATTTCCAGATTTCAACTAAGAATGCTTTGGAAGAAGCTTCCTTTGACACGTTTCTTGGGTGGGGTATCATCGGCATCCCTAGTGCTGTTACTCCTGCAAGTCAAGAAGGAAGCCTCTTTTGAGGAGACTCTTTTTGGGAAGGGTCCCTGTTGTGGGGTTCCATGTTATTTTGTCGGTGTAACCGGTTGGGTAGAGCCACCTGGTTGCGAGGATCGCCGTGGATGACTTTTGGTTTTCTATCAGTTAGTTTTTGTTTTTAACAATTTTGGTCCTTTGCGGTCCTTTCAGTTTAATATTGGTTTTGTAGTGCCGTATTGATTCGTGCTGCCTTATTTACTACGTGTAGTATGGGGTCATGATTGGTTACCCTTCTGCCGATGAATTGCCTATTCTCAATTGAACCATAGCTTTAAGCAAACCGTATCATTACGTATCAGGGGCTTGTCTGTACTCCACTTTGGAGGGTCGTTGGCAGGGCTGTTGTCAAGATGACTGAGATGAAGAAAATTGCAGCTTGGGGGCACGGATTGACTTCTGCGTGTTTGGATTTTGAGATGTACTAGAAAACGCACTATTGACACAGTGCGGTCTCAGAAAACATGGTCACATTTTTCGGCGGTTGGGCGAAGGGCAGGGTTGGGTAAGATTTGGGGGAGGATACCCTATATTTGTTCTTGTCAGAAACGCCGTTTTTTTTCAGAGTATCGAGCACCCTTTTGTTTCGGGGGAGTGATCAATATTGTGTAAGTTGTATTTGGTACCTCTTTATCAATCAGATGCTTGCATTGCAGTTAATTGCAGTTGAATCTCTCGGAATCTAAGCGTTTGTTCGGGGAGAGCCATGAACAAGTAGGTTCCTGAAAATGAAGTTAGTCAGCAAGTGCAAAGAAGCCTGGAAAGACGTGACCCACATTTTGTTTTAGTGACACCTTCTTATTATTTCCCAATGCGATTTTGCTGCAACCCAAGCCCGTGAACCACAAATAAAGTTGGCACACATGAGGGGTTTCCAAGAAGGGAGTTTCCTTTTTGGGACTACCCTCTTTCCAACAATCATGAGGATAGGTTTGGAAGATTAATTTTGTCTTTCTTTTTTCAGGCCCTTGTCCACTTCCGTTGGAAAAAGGGAACCAGGCTCTGTGAAGCGCCATGCTCACGAGGTGAAGCATGCTCAATCCTCCAACAGCGACACTTTTGGGAAGGTGCTCAGCTGTGGAGCGCGCCTTGGATAACTGTGCCGGCGATTTCGAGAAAACTTGTTGAACTGGCGGGGGAGGCTGGGCTTATGTTTTTGGGGTCTGGCTTTTTTGGTTGACCTGACCCCCAGCGAATGTGTTGTTCCTTTTGGTTTGGGAGACAGTTCCCGCGTTAGAAGTCAAGAGGGTCTTGAACAACCGGACACTCAGAGGCAGAGGGAAAGCTGTCCTTAGGTTTGTGCCTCACCTTTTGGGGGCACTCAGAGGATGTTTGAAGGGTGAAAGTGCCTTGGCGGATGCTTGGGTCCTTAGGGGAATATGCAGAGTGTCACACCAAAAACAAGTTATGTTGTTCTGGGAAACACGCGAATATAAAGAAGCAGGGATCGGGTTGCATAATAGGGCTTGTTTTCACCTGCCTGTTGGGTCCTGTTGGTTTCAAAGGACCCATGTCCCGGGGCCCTTGGCATCTCAAAGTGGATGCTGGCGTATCCTTGCTGACTAGGTACGGTGACATTTAGGAGTATTCCTTGTGGTGTTAAAAAACCAGGGGTGAGGTCACAATTCCCCAGTAGATGTGGTCACTAGCATGAACTTGCCCACGCACTTCCATTGGCAGATCTTCTTCAACTTCCAGCGCCGTTGTCAGAACGATCAAATACAACAAGTACGACTCAGGGGCATTTCCTTTGAGAATGTCTTGAAATGCCAACACCCCGACTTCCCTGGGTGGCAAAGCAGAACCTTGGCTTAATTCTACATCCTTGCAGCTTTTGCCCATTTTGCGATGTGACTGAGTATGTGTTGTAATTTTCCATTGGGGATTGTAGCTCAACTAATCAACGGCCTCTTTCCATGTTGAGGTCCTCCTTGAGCTGTTCTAGGATTCTTGCTGGCTGCAAACAATCAATCTGACATCGAGGAGCAATATATGGAGGTTCAACCTTGAAATGCACCGGCGGCACATGCGGCTTCCCCCAAAGAAAACTTCAGGAACACCAAGGGGGCGGGCTTCTCTTGTGCGACATTGAGCTGCAAAAGCCGTGGGCCATGTCATAAGTGCTGACTTGTGGCTTGGAGGCGGAGTTTGCTTTGGATTTTGCATGAATGCTGGACCTCCTGAGTCTGCACAATCGTGCCAACGGACCAGTGGCATATTCGAATGAGTACTTCAAGCCTGGCTGAGTCTAAAGTTGGGTTTGCATTTTGTTTCTTCGTGGTTGAGTTCGCCTAGTGACGCGGTTTCCCCCGAAAAACATGGGACCTCTTTCCCTCATTTGGTACCACTTTTCCTCATTGAGCAGCTCTGCCCAGGTGACGGGGTGATGTCGCATGCAAAGAACTTCGCTGCTTGCGTAGGGCTGCGGGGCTCCGGTGGTCCCCGAACCGTCCGCGCGGGGGCGATTCCTGCTGAAAGATCTCAGCGCGCGTTCCATCTCCTGGGCGACTTTCTTGCCCACGGGCCATGCAAACGCATGCGCCCGCAGATTTTTAGAGACGCAGGGGTCCATTTCGTGGGTACTGGGGCGCTTGACCCTGGTTTCTAAATATATCTTTTCGTGGGGCGTGCTGTTTGGAGCTCAAAATGGAGCCCTGCCTGTAACCAACGGCGTTCAATCGATCGAAGCCCGACGGTTTTCCTGCCGACACGACTTCCAGAGTCGAAGTGGCACCGCGAGGCGTTCGGCTTTCAAAGTGGGAGGGCTTCTGTACAGAAATGGGTGACCTCTCTCTGGGACGTTTGTCCTGTGAATCAAAGAGGGAGGTCCCCGGTTTTGGAGCCGCCCACGTGGAGTCCCGCCTGTGTCCCGGCGCGCTCGACAACGTGAGCCCCCGCTGCCCAGGAGAGGCCTTCGGGGACGGGCCGAGACAGAGGCGACTTGGCCGGAGGCGTTTGGCCACCTTGGTGCGAGGAGAAAAGCCACAAGCGTGTCATAGGTGTCCTTTTTGGTTGTTTTGCTAGAAAAATCGAGGGCGATTCCTGGTTTACCTGGTGGTCTAATCATCTACCAGGGCCATCTATTTCCCTAAAAGGACACCTATGGCAACCAGCGTCCTGCAAAGGCCAGCTCACCTATCCGGTGACAGGAAACCGTGCCAGCGCTGTATTCTGGGGAGTGGTGATAGGTGTTGGAAGTAGTGTAGATGTTGCGCCTGAGCAGAACTCACCTGGTGAAGGTTGATGGGAATGCAGGATGCATAAATCCCCTCGTTGACAAAATTGGGCTGTCTCATTTTCGGGGAGTCCTTCATTCCCCGGGCCGTGCTCTGCCACATGAATCCCGAGACAGGGACTGTTCCCGCAACCCGCTCTGGATTCCCAACGCCAATTGGTCCTGCCGCTCCGATGGAATCGGCTCCAGTTTGGGATCTGTTTTGCGCCAAGAAAGATGGAGCGGGCGAAAGGCGAATTGACCCAGCCGCGATGCACGGAGTTCCTACCCTGCAAAGAGTCCTTTGACCCCTTTTGACCCTTCAACCCAGGACCCGACTTGGCCCCTTTGGGTTTGGAATCCGGAAGTGAGGTACCCGCCCTCATTTCAGTCAATGTGCGACCCAACAAAGCAGGCATTCACAAGCCCATCGGCTGTCCACGATGCGCTGGATATGGGGCAAAGAACTCAGCATACCAAAGCCACATGCATGTGTCCATTTTCCGGAAAAAAAAAAAAAAAAAAAAAAAAACAACTTCCCCTTTCAGCCTTTCCGCAGCCAACACATAGACGCCAGTTCTCAATCGCCAGCCGCACGCGCCGCGAGCGCCATTGCCTGTCAAAGGCCCTGTGGGCCATGTGCGGGCCTCGATCAAGGGGCATTTTCCGCGTGCGAGTTGACGTGGGCGGCCATGTTGGGATAAGTAGATGGCACAATTTGCTTGACTCCCAACCATCCTCTTAGCTTCTTAGCTTTTTAGGGTTGAGTGGGGGTTTTCATTGAACCTACTAAAAGTGAGTCACTTTTAGCAGGGGATCTGAGGGCAGCCCAATTGTCCATCAGCCATCCCCTTTTGCCCTCAAAGGGAATTGTGGCATATTGTGGCCATCCAGTTCACCCTAGTGTAAGAATTGCACGCGCAGTTGTTTCTTGTTTTGTTGCGTGAGGGTTGGCACCCGAAACGAGCTAGCAGAGACCATGTTGTCATACAGGATTGTGAATACGTTCAGACAATCCTACTCACACAACGCATAATTAATGACTTTGGCGAGCGTATTCAGCACTTAATTGGTAGGTTGGCTTTTTTTACAGGGTGCGACCCCCCTGTTGTCTGTTGTGTTTGTTTGCCAACCATCACACTCCATTTGTTTGGTACCAGAAAACAAACTCATTTCGGTGGGATTTGTCACACCATGACTTCCGGCCTCTTCGATTTGTTTCACGTGCTTCTCCCCCGAAGAACCTCAACTTATGGCCTGTTTGAAGGCCTGACAGTGTTGAATAGGCAACTTCCTGAAAGGACCGGTTTAGTTTCCCTTTGCTTTCCCTTTGAAACCAGCCCCACACGGGTAGCCTCAAACGATACGCATCTTGTATTAGTTGGGCTTCACCTCCAGAGTGGTTGATCGAATCCCCCGAAGTTTGGTGCCCCCAAAGCCGTCCCCCAATAGAAATCTGAGGCCCCTGGAATTTGCAACGGGGGCTGGGAGGTGGCCGAGCTGCAAGAAACCAAATTCTTTGGAAATTCTTTGGGAAAATCCAACCTGATTTTGGTGGGTATTAAACCAACTATAGGAAATTATTTGGGAAATTCCCCGGATTTTGGTGGGTATTTGGCGAACTTCCTGTAGAATTTCCTGCCGGTTTCTATGACAAGCATGGAGTCCGCAAGCTTCAGCCCAGGCTGGCGCTCACGAAGTCGCCGGCGCCGGCTCGGGCGGCGATCCCGGGGTTGGCGGTTTTTCAGCAGGCGAGGGGGGGGAGTTTGGGAACGTCAGACAAGGCTGGGATCTCCTTCAAGACTATGTATTTTTGGTACCCTGGCGGGTGGGCCAAGGAGGGGTGTTCATAGTCAACCAAGGAAAACTCGCCTTACGAGAAAATGGCAGGTCTGGCTGGGAGCTGGGCACATTGGGCAACCCACAAACATAGGCTCCGGCGTCCTGAAGTGATTTCCCAACCAGAGTTCAGTTCCTCGAAACCCCAAGGCCGGAAAGCAGGATTGGCATAGCCATCGCTGGTCGCTGGTGGGGAAAAAGAAGCGGAGACTCATATCGAGACTGATTTCCAGAAGCCTAGGTCGATCAAGTTTGGTCCCTTCCGAACCTTTCCTTGGCAACTTTGAGAGCCTTTTCTGATTGCCCCTCTTTTCCGAAGTCTGGAATGCGAGTAACCAAGACACCGACTAATGTTGACCCCATGTTCATCAACCCCAGTCTATGAATAGGGGGTGTCACAAGGTTTAGTGGGGAATCATCACTGTTTTCAGGCGAACCCCCCCTCTATTCATAAACTGGGGTTGATTAATACGGCTGTGGCTCAAACAAATGTACCAAAATGGCACCTTGGTGAATGGAGCCGAAGACTATCACCTGCGAAACCCCATCTCTTTAATTTTGAGCCACATCCATATGTCAACAGTTCCCCATGGTTGTTGTTGGGAAACATTTTACATTGCTTCTTGTGGTTTAGTGGTTGAAACCCCCACTTAACTGCTAGAATTTAACTTTTTGCTCCCCTTCCAACGTCAACCCGGAGAAGTGCAGGAGGATTCCAACCTCCGCCTTGGCCCCAAATTCCCGCTCTTGCGACGTGTCTAGGCCTCGGCCAAGCGGCCGGGCGGCGCAGGTTGCCAAGGCGAGCGTGGACCGGTGGAGTGGGGCCGGGCGTTGATCCAACGGTACTTTTCATGGGACCGACAGGGCTCCTTAAAAGATCTCCATTTTGCAACCATTTGAAACATGGCTTTTTCCACCAAAGTAAAGGGAAACCACCATTTGCAAGTTGCAATGTTCAGGTGTATAATGTAAGGATCCCTGATCGAGGAAACCCGCCCAAACAGATTCTATTTTCACCATGCGAAAGCTTACTCCATAGTCACTTGAGAGATTTGGGATATTGATCACCCGCGTCGTTTCTGGAAAAAATATTGGATGGCGTTGTTTGGGTGTCCTTTTGGGGAGTCCCACAAATATGCAGACAGAGCGGTTGCAGTAGAACTGGATCGGTCTTGGGCCTTGGGTGGTCCGATCGCTTTCTGGTGGTGGTCTTGTCGCTTACTCGCATTTGTGGGATAGCCCTCAAGGAAAGACCAGGTCGTTAGCCCGGACCTCGAATCCCAAGTAAGATCAGCTACCAACGCACTGCCCGCTTCCCTGTGAAACGCAAGCAGCTGCGGTGGGTGTATCCTTGAGGGTAGGGTTGGGCAAAAGCTGTTTCAACACCATGTCCGCATTTGGCCACCGTTCATTTGAAGGAAACCCAACTGAGATGTTTTCCAAGCCAGAGAGTCCAAGTACCTCATGAGGATGGCTTTCGGGAGGTAAAAAGGGGTCTAAGTACCGCCTTAGAAGGTACCAAGGGACCCTCTGGGCAAGCCAATCTCGTATGTCTTTCTCTTTGTTAGCTGCCCTCTTTGACCCATTTAAATCCCTTGGGGTTGACTCTCAGGGCGTTTTCCACCATTTTTTTTAGGGACGCCACCAGAATAGTGGTTTTTCCTGTCTTGTTTTCCCTTTAAAGCCTCCAACAAAGGTTTTTCCCCCCTCCCCCAAAAGAGACACACCCAAATAGGTTGTGGCTCATAAAAATGTACCAGAATGGCACCTTGGTACATGGAACCCAAGACTAAACCTGCATAACCCCATCTTTAATTTTGAGCCACACCCATATGTCAACAGTACTGACAGTACCCCATGATTGTTCTTGGGCAACTTTTTTTTACATTCCTGCTTGTGGTTTAGTGCTTGAAATCCACCCACTTAACTGCTAGATTTTTCCCCCCACTGAACAATTCAGAAAATTAACCTGCACAATTCGAAAAAGATCTTTCCGTTTGAGCCGCCAAGTAGGTCGTCCTCGTTTCCCTTTCGGTCCGTCGGCCCCGGGGAAAGCCGAAACCGCGCGAGGCGCGGAGAGCAGTTTGGCGCGGCGGGCGCTGGCCCGGGGCCCAAGGTGGGTCGTTTTCAACATAGACCCATGGGTTTTCCTTGGGCTCCGAAAAAGATAGTTACATTTTGCAACCATTTGAAAGATGTGGCTTTTTCCCCAATTTTTTTTGCAACCATCTGAAAGATGTGGCTTTTTCAACCCCCCCCAAAAAAAAACGCCACCATTTACAAGTTGCAATGTTCAGGTGTATCATGTAAGGATTCCTGTTATGGCTTCCCTTTGGGCTTCCACTCTAAAAGGGGAACCGCTCAAACACAGACTCATATTGTAGACTGAATTTGGAAGCCCTGAACATGTGAGTTTCTGTGTACCTTGGGAGTGAGACAAGGTGTCATGAGGGACGCGCCGATTCAGCCTGTTCAAAGGAATGATTTCAGGCTCGCCGCATGTTTCCCTTTGGGATGAGGCTGGGACTCTACCTTCAGTTCCCTGGGTTTTGGTTTTCGGTGTTTCGTCAAAACCAAAGGCGCCCTTACGGACCGCCATGACTGGACGCCTTGGCCTGTGGGAAGGAACCATGGGACATCTCCAGTCCCCCGTTCGGAACATTGCAGGGTGGTGGTCCTAAAAATTGACTTGTGTTCTCTTTGTGTCAGCATTTGCCATTCTGGGCGGAGTGCGTAGGGTTGAAAATGGTGGAAGCTTCGCGGAAGGGCGGCGGAAGCTTGTTGCCACAGTTTGAGACATGATTAGAAATTGGACTCTCGTGCTGCATGTTAGCACGCCTCTCAAATGGCGTGTTTCATTTTGGTTTGCGTTCGATCTCTGCCCAGAATTGTGCGGTTGTTGTTTAACAGATCGCGCTGTGTCAGAAAGAACGGCCAAATATGAGACCCTGGTGTTGTTGTGTGGCCTCTTGTTGAAGGGGTTTCGAAACCCCGACAAGGGTCTCATCATTTTGTTGCACCTCTCACTCTTTTTGCACCTCAAATTCAGAGCCACGGCCTAATAGTCACTATTAAATACAACTATTAGGCAACCTTCCCATGGCTCTCCTTGCTGCAATCAATCTAGGACGAACCTCATATGGGCCTGTCTTTGGAAAGGTGACACCAACAAATTGTGGTTTCCTTTCAGGCTTCCTTTAAAGCCAACCAACAATCAACAAAAAGGTTCCCAGCAAAAACTGTGTGTCTGTTGTAAGGGGACGCCAAAAAATGTGGTTTTCCTTTTAATCAACCAACAACCAAACAAAAAAGGTTCCCAACCAAAAGCTGACGGACCCATATGAATTAGGACGTTCCCCCCTCTGTGACATGAGGCCTGCGGCCTGGCCGCGGCCTTGCGATGGAAGCGCTCGTCACGCGCTCGCGTGAGACACGCGCTGAGAGCAGGCCCAGTGGTTGGGGGGCTCCTGGGGGGCTCCTTGAATTCCTTGGAAGGTTTCTTGGAGGGTCATGGAGCCTCAGAAGAAGGGCAACTGTGGACATCACCCGGTCAACGCCTACATGCTGCCCCGAATGTGTGTCATGTTAGTGCTTGGCAGGAATTGGGTGACATGATATCATTTGAATAGGACATGCGCTTGAGCCAAGATGGATCTACGCTGTCTGGGCCATGTTGGCTCAAGAGCCAAAATAGCAAATTTTGTTTGAATCCCTGGCATCCTGTGGGCCATTGAGATGCTACAGGATGCTTTTCAGCGGCCTCAGCGGGCTTTTGGGCAAGGATGCCATGGGAGGAGGCAGCCCGCTATGTTGGGCAGGTTGCCGTGGTTTTGCTATGGATGCGCGGGGTGACGTATGACCTGTCGGTTGGGGCCATATTGGCCGGGTGGCTGCTTCAAGCTCTGTCAAGTTTCCGGGCAGCTGCCACCCCTGACTGTATCCAATCTCCTATTAAGCCTTCCGGGCCGAGAGCTGGGAACCAGTCAGTCAGGTGGCCAGGGTGCATCAGACTGCAATGCTGTTCACCCTGGTTGACCAACAGAAAATCGCTGTCCTGTTCTGCTGCCCTAGTTTGAGCGTGCTATTTTAGTGCTTGGCAGGCCTTGGGTGACATGATATCATTCGAATAGGACATGCGCTTGAGTCAACATGGCCCTGTTTGGCTCAAGAGCCAAAACGGCTCAACTTCTTTTCCGCCTCGCGCCTTCTTACCTCCTCAGGTGGCCAGGTTCATCAGACTGCAATGCTGTTCACACTCATTTCTGGTTCTCTCTCTCTCTGCCGTTGCGTCCAGACAGCGAAAAGGCGCCCACGAGTGCGCATCACAGGTCAGGCCGCCTTTGTGTCTCCATGTTCACTAGGTAAAAATGAGAACGAGGTCAATTTTATACGGCCTGGCCTCCATTTGACCTCCCAGGTCGCTTGATTGGTTTTCAGGTTAGGGTGCGTGGCTCCATGTTTTGGTTTGAGACGTAGCATGGTTTTCCGTTGCTGTCTAAGAAGATGCCAACGTCACATGCCCAAAGTGAGGTATCTTGCATGGTTCTGCGGTTGACCATCTCACTGGCAACTGTTCCACCCGCTAGGCCGGTGGCAAGCATGATTAGTCATCCGTAGGTTTGGGGAGTCCAAGGTTAGATTTTAGTCATAACAGTGTTTAGTCCTCACCTAGGTCCTTCGGTAGCAGAGCATGAAATGCCATCTGATCCTTTTTTTCATGGCTTTGTTATTTAGGACTTGCTGATTAAGCATGATTTGGAGCTTTGTTGGTTCTACCTATATAACACTATGTTTTTTGATTGCTCAGATCCCGACATATCGGCCTATGGCAACCCCACAGAAGACAGATACAGTCCAGGCCTTTGTCTACATGCCCCATGCTACGTTGATGAGTTGCCCCTCAAGGAAGCCAGAAGGCATCAGAAGGCAATCAATAATCCTTTTGTTAGGCTCACTGTTTGGACCGATACCCTCCATTTGACACCCCTTGCCAAGGAAACCCTGGCGTCTGACGCACAGAGGCCCTTTGCTTTTGCGCCTGAACCCGGAGACATGTTGTAGCCAGCTGGCTTCAAGAGAAACACCCATGGAGGTTTAATTTTGACATATGAAACAGAACTTGAACATCTTTGTTTTTTTCTCGTGCGTGTCTTCAGATTTGGAACAAGGCCAAATTTGAACGAAGTACAATGGTACCATCGGGCATCGGCTTTTGCAGGTTGGGTCTGGTTGTTTGGGTGGTTCAATTTGTCGGTTTCTGGTGGCAATATAGTCAAATATTCTTGTGGGTACATGTCAAAGTAGTGGGAGTCAAGCATGGGTAGTCATCCTTGTTGGCCCCTTCAATCTTCAATCCAAATTGAAAACGATACCTGCAAAAAAGAACCAGCCAACAGAAAACCCCATGTTCAAAGCACGAGTTGTGGAAGCGGCTCGGTACACCAAATATCCAAGTCCAACCGGCACAGCGTTCCCCTGCAAATTTCACGGGCCGAAGAAGAGCATTCCCCAAAAGTGTTCTGTCGGGAATACTGGCCGTTTGGGTCCAAGCGTAACAAGAGCCAGCCCAATGTCAGAGAAGCGCGGTGGCAGGTGTGAAGGAGGAAGTGCTCGACATGCCGGGCCCTCAGTGGTCACAGCTACCGGGGAATCCAAACCCAAAAGGAGGGGTTGTTCTTTTGGCAGACAGGCAAGTTGGTAGTTGGGCCGACCTCTTCTGGGCCGTTCAAAGCCAATCTGCAAGGCTCCGCTTTGAACCGCCCAGACTACTCCCTTGGACATGCCCGGTGGACGGAATGAAACGACCTATATAGAGGAATATATCTGGGGATCTCGGTCCTGCGTTTTGAGTTGCTGGCCTTCCAGGAATGAGAAGATCCATCAGGGAAGGAACGCGGCCAACTGTTTTTATTATTATTATTATTAATATTTTTTATGTTATATCCGAGCGACTTGTTTGTCCCCTTTCTTTCATCCCTTTTTGTGAGCAACTGATTTTGCTTGCCCCAGGCCGGTAGATACCCCACCCTCTCAGGAGATACCTTTCAGTTTTTTTTTGGGCGAGCCGCTCATTGTTTGGTACTTCCGGAGGTACATGTCCCATGGCCCCGGGTCGCTTCGTTTTGGCGTCTCTCGGCTTGCGCTTGCGCAGGTCCAAGCTGGAGCAGCGCATCAAGGACTTGCAGGGCCTGAAGGCCAGAAGCCGACTGCATCCGCGGCGTTGCTACCCGAGGAATCTCGAAATGGGTCTGCGTCAAAAGGGGGGGACAAAATCGGTTGTTCCTACCCCCAAAACGGTAGCCCTCTAAAGAAACACACGTATGTTTGGAAGCCGAAGGGAAACCACATTTATAATATATATATACACCATTTTTTGAGAAACATCGAAGGTCTGGGCAAAGTCGATTCCACCGGCCCATGGGGAATGAGTAGTACTTTCCCACACATTCTCGGCACCGTGCGTTCAAGCAGCCCTGGCTGGCATGGGTGCAGAATGGTGGCAAATTGAGTTGCAGAGCAAGTCTGATTAGAAGGATCAAACAGAAAAAGGCTGATTAAAAGGGTACCTAGAAACGGAGCCGGTTTCAAGCCAAGGGTATTTGGACCGGTCTGAGCAAATGGAACCACGCCTTTGTCATAGGAAGCATTTGACACAGGTCCTTCTTTGCGTACGACTTGCAAAGGAGGTTTCGCTTGACGTGGGACACTTTGGAGCTTGATTGTTTTTCTCCCATAACCCCATCTTTTCAAAAGTCAATGTAGCAAGGTTCCCAGACTTGCAAGCACCAAACACGGTATTTGGAACACCATTTGATTTGATGAACGGACGGGTTCCATTGTTTGATGACCCAAAGCTAGAATTAGACCCTTGAATCGTTTTCCCTGCAAGAGGAAAGCAACCACCCCTGAGTTTTGCCTACCTTCCGGCAAGCAATAAAAATGGGACCAATAGCGCCCCATCACCGGGTCTTTCACCTGGCGCCGTCGCACGCAAGCGCAAGCGCTGAAGCGCTCGCAAGCGACGTCGCCCGCATCGGAGCGGAGGCGCGCGAGCTGCGGAGCCAGCTGGATGCGCTGGGCATCTCCACCAAGGGCTGCATGGACCGAGAGCCGGGCACCCGGCCGGGGTTTGGGGGAGTCGGGGGGGTCGGGGGGACCTGGGGGGAAGTTGGGGGGGGTCAGGGGGGGAGGATGGTGGGGGGTCGGGTAGGGGGGAGGGGGGGGGGAAGGAGAAGTATTTCGTTGGTTCTGTCCATCAATGTTTTGTTGAGACACATGATAGCATGGTGTTGTGGATGTTTTTTGGAAGTGAGAACTTGTTGGTGCTTGATGACAGAAATCCAGGTGGTTGATTGAAGCTGGCCAAAGTTGGCATTGGTAGATGGATTTGTTGAATAGTTTGATTGCTTTAGCTTAGCAACAGCTTTTGTTTTAGATTCTGGACACTTGTCAGCTCTAGGGAAGTGCTACTTTTGCGGCCGAGGAATGAGCAATGAACGAATCATAAGTTTATGGCAAATTTGAGGAGGGTAAAACAGTCATAGGCCATTTGGCGCTTGCTAGAAGCTGCACGACTTTCGCTTGGCCAAGCCCGGCTCTAGGCCGTGTCACTTTGTCTCGTTTGCTTGGCCCTGTTGTTTAGTTGATGAGGTTTGACTGATGGACCTTACATTGTTTGTGCGTGTAGATTATGCTTACGCCGATCGGAAGGGTTATAGGCCACGAACGTGGGATTTGTAGCAGATGGTTTGGTACCCTCCCCCCTTTTCGTCCGCCCCTGTGATTGGGACATTTGGTAGACTTGACATTGGCGGATGGATTCGTCGGGCATTGGGATAGCATTGGTTCCGCCAAACTTAGCTTCAAGGTTGTGAGAAATTGTTGGCATAGGGAATCCCAGTTTCTGTGAGTGATAAAGGAATCATTTCAAAGTGATTAAGCGGTATCGGAACGGGAATCAACCTCGTTGGTATTCTTTGGATAATTGCAGCAAAGAATCTTAGCTGATTGATACACCTCAGTAAAGCTGAGTTTACGCAGGAGTTTGAAATGTGTTTGCAGTTCATGTTTATGTTTGGAAAGTATGGTCGTCATGCTGTTTCTGGTTTCTACACGTGAGCATAGCTTGCATGCACACTTTATCATAGGGCCCATCCCCAATGATGCCGCTCAATTCGAAGCTTTGAGGGCCCCGTTTTGTTTGGGAGACACCCAAACTCAAGTCAAAATCGACCCGCAAGATACCAGTAGTTGAAAAGCCCGATGCGTTTAAGTTACGTGCTTTCCTTGTCTCGTTCCACTGGTAAGGATTGTGATTTGAGATGCCCAGCATTGAACAGCTTAGATTTCTGGGGTCTCCTTCAACAGCTTTTGATTTTTCGGGCACGGGCTGAATCTGAGTTCACAAATTTTGCCCGGCTGAAAGCAGTGTGGTCTCTGCCCGAGGCTTCTGGGGAAGGCTTAGGACACATTTCACATGTTTCCAGTGACTCAAAGTGAAACAAACAATAAAGTATACATTCTATCACTGGGCCTATTTCCAATCATGGGCTTGATCGGGGTGGGGGGTTCCGGTGCTGTTCCGGGGCCACCTGGCCTCGGGTGCTCGGCACACGCGAGGTCTTTAGTGGAGCTGCTGGAGACGGAGGGCCGCAAGCGGCTGGACATGGGACATGGGCGTCGTTTTCATTCCTCCAAAGGGAACCCGTGGGTTTCTTCGTGGCTAGTCGGCTTGCTGATGTTTTTCGACTTTTTCTTGGGACACATCGGGAAACCACTGGTCTTATGGCTAATGGGACCTTGCCGCATTTTCTGGGACTTTGCCTTTTGAAACGGCAACAGGTGGGATTTTCCGAATTGGACCCACCAGAAGTGATTTCCTTTCTGCAGATCTGCAGAGGGGTCGTTGCAACCAAGGTTTGGGAGTTCCCCTTAGAGACAAACCCCGCATCGGTGGTGTTTGCTTTCTAATTTCCATGTGGCGTCTTTTTGTGGGAGGTTCAGTGTGCCCTTTGCTTTGGTGCTGCGGGGGCTCAAACGAAAGAGGGGCACTACGATTTCCACGATTTGCCCTCCCACCAAACCTATCACGTTCCATGTTAGTGGGAGGGAGGGAAACCACTGGTTATGGCGGTTTGGTTTGCCGGATCTTGGGCTGTGGTTCCCATGGGTTGTGATTTCTTCTGACGCGCGAGTTCACAAGCTCGACAGCTCGAGCCGGAACGTTCCCGCCAGGGGGGGGGGCGTCAGCCCAGCTAAGGTTGAGGGTGGCGGGGGGGGAACAGCCAGCCCAGGCACCAGGCTGCTCAAAGGGGAAATTCCTTGAGTTTTCAGTTCTAAGGATGGCATTCACTTGGCATATGGCTGTGGTCAAAACCGTTGTGGTTGATCCCATGTTGGGGGATTGGTGAATTCACCACCCATTTTAGTCGGGATTTTAGTGGGGATTGGGATGTTTACAGGGGGTACGGGATTTTGACCCAGGGCCATAATATTTTTGTCCGGTCGTTTACTCTTTTGATTCTGTTCATTTTTACCGGGGGCTGCAAAACACATGTTTTTGTTTGCCACCGTACCAAGATTAGAGATGGTTGATTCGCCAGTGTCTACCCATGTCATCATTGTTTTTGAATAAACACCGTTCCTCATCTTTCCTTTTGCAGAAGCCAGCGATCCTTTGGGGTTTTGGTTGCCATTCGAGACAGAGGACCCCTGAACAGAGTGAACAAGGAGAATACCGGCCGAGGATTGGGAGCCCAGTTTTCAGACAGGTGGACGATTCAAGAACTTGTGTGTTTTCCAAAACCCGTCCATTTGCCTCCAAAAAGCAAACAATTTCGGGTGCAGCCGGGTCTGAGACTGATGACCCAGCCAAAAGCACGTTGTTGTTTGCACTTGCGCGGCTTTGACGGGGTCAACGCAGCGCATGCTTCACCATAGCCAGTCCCAAAGCGATCCAACACAAGACCCGAGTCGATCCCTACCTTTGAAAGAGGCTCCCTTGACGTCCGGCGCGCACGAACTCGAAGCGGGCGTGTTGCTAAGGGTCCTGCTGAGCTCTCCTGAGCACGAGGCGCTGGGAAGAGAATTGGGTTTGCGCATGCGGGGCATGTCTCGGAAAACTGGACCCTCTCACCGATGAATTGGGCCGCCTGCCCTCCCAATGTTGCCTCTAGTAGTATTTGAAGGATTTGTGTTCGAAGTAGCCAGTTTTTGGGAGCGTGGGTCCAGGAAATCTATTTTTAAGTACTTTGTACTACAGTCAGATTCCAGGCAGCCCGGCAATGCTACCCTTAAAGTGTGGTCGAATTTCAGGAGCTTTGGCAATACTACTGCTACGGGCCAATGTTACTTTGGACGTGATCTGTAGTAGGCTTTATTCAAGGGCATGACCCAGATGGCCCAGATGTGTTTGTTGACAAGACTGCTTTTAAACGGGGCACTTGTTTGGATCCACTTCCAGACTAGGACGGGAGCCAGATTGGGCAGTGTTTCTGGGCGACACCGCCTCAAAAAGGCAATGCTAATCTCGGAATTGCTCTTGTTTTTCGGATGCCTATCGCGGCCCAGGCCATTGGCTTCTAGGATTAGCTTCATGTGCCCGTGACTTTGGCATGTAGCATACCCAACATGATGTTCGATTGGTTTTTAGGGGCTCACTGAACCAAAATGGTCTGGACTTGGGCCATCTACTTGACTCATAGAGGCATAGTGATTGAAGTTCTGTTTTTTTGCTTTGCGGTTCCCAGCCGTCCCCTTAGGTTTCTAGGCTTTTAGGGTTTAGTGTGTGTTTAACCCACTAAACGTTGAACTTCTAGCAGGGGTTTAGCAGGGGATCTGAAAACGGACAGCCCAGATTGTGCCTGCCTGGTGAGACTGGATAGCTTGGGGCCCCGAAACGGGCCTCCGCCAGGCGCAAGCAGAGGCGGGGCATGGCAGTGCTGGATGGATGGTTCTCATTAGGCGCTGTCTGCGCGCAATCAAAGGTTTCCCAGCATAACACGAAGCCGGGACCAGGCGACCGAAAAGCATTCGTTCTGCTAGGGTGACTTGCAGACTTATGAACGACATGTGACCATCAAGGCAGTTGTCAGTTGCCAGAGGCTTGAGGCGGTCAAAAACAAACCGTGTACCATGTTTCCCATAGCTTTCCCAGGGTTCCACAATTCGTGCAGGTGATGTTATTAACAAACAATAAAACACTAATGCCCGTTGAACCAGGAATGGCACACGGGGTGCAAGCTGTGCAAAGATGGTTCAAAGAGTGCTCCGCGCTTGGTTTATGTCGACATGCTGAATGTTGAAGCTGTGTGTGCCATAAGGATTGCTTTACTTGGAGTTGGCAGGGTTCTCATCGGCTTCATTACTCTCCATCGCTGCGTTTGTTTCGAGTGAAGCCCTTTTCTCTTTGAAGGGACCCGCATTTGTTGGAACCATTTTGTGAGTACCGTCATTTGGAGATTCCCCCCGACGTGTTCTTTCAGACACCCATCTTAGCCCGAGAAGCGCCTTCATGATCCTCGAAAGGAGTTCTGATCAACCGCAGATCGACCATATGTTGATTCCAATGAACAAAAAGAGGCGATCACCCTCTTGCCAACTTTGTCAACCAATAGGTCAAGGAAAACCATGCAAACCGAAGCCAAGCCTATTTCAGGGGTTGAATATAATATAGAGCCAACAGCCACGGGGTTTATACCCCGCGCGGTTGTTGGAGCTGATTTGTGGGGTGTTGTGCCTTTAGCTTCCACCACCTGATCAGGGAAGCCACCGAAACAATGCCCCCTTTTTTTCAGGGCACATCTTCTAAGTTGCCTGAGAGAACCCGCCTAAATTTCCGTTTTTGGGAGGGTCTCCCCCAAAAATAACCAACTGGAACCACGTGGAGGCCCCTGGCCCCACGTCAAAAGCGTTCCACCGGCGAACAAATCCTCAGGCTCAGGCCACTCAGCGGCGCATGGAGGAGCTCAGGGCGCTCAAGGCGTTGAAACGTCGGCCGACGCGGCGTGCTTCATGATCAGCCCAGCGAAAAAGTAATGACCCCTGATCAATCAACCGAATCTATGGATTATGTTGGGGTTGTTTCCACAAAAACGAATCTATGGATTATGTTGAGAGGAGTTGTTCCCACAAAAACAAAGTAATTTGTGTCTCTAAAATGAGGCACGCCCTTGTCAACTTCTGAAACGGGGTTTCAGAAATGCTGGCTTATGGGTAAGTTGTCAGCTGGTGTCCTGAAGATATGATGGCCTCCCGCATGGAGGGTTTGTTTGGGTCTTGCCCACTTGTTCACCAAAGCGGATTTGATTCCTTGGGATCCCAGCGTGGGGAGGGGGTTCCTTTTCGGCCCAAGAAGCTCGGCGCCAATGACCTCAAGACACATCCTTGACAGCGGCGCTACGTGGCCAAGTACCCGGCTGGTTCCAGTCTGGGCTTTGCGATGAGATGCGACATGTTTTTAGTTTGGATGGTTTGAAAGGGAATCCAGCAGCAAACACATTTTCTTGGGTTTGGCCCATAATTTTGAAACACGTCCTGAAGCAAAGATGCTATGCGTATGGAGTTAGGGACCCCTTCAAGTGCCGTTGTTTTCTTTTGTTTTCTCCTCTTGAAGCAAGAGGGCCTGTACTTCAAAGGCTAGAAGCTTAACCACTTCACCCAGTTTCAGATGTTTCAAGGACCTGAAGGACACCCACCCTCGAAAGGTCCCCAGTTCGCATCTTGGAATTCGGGTACCCCGCCCCGCCCCTCCCTCCGCAGGCCCGGGACCTCCGGAAGCAGCTGAGCCAACTTGGCCTCGACACCGAGGCGCGCGCGCGCGGGGGCTCGTGAGCTTGCGCCGGTGGCAAGCTCCAAAATGCCCCGCGATGGAAGCACAGACAAAAAAGTTCCCTTGACATCCTGAGATGTTCCGCTGGTGATCTAATTTAAACATTTTTTGTTGGGCCCACTCGAAGTAGATTTGGTCTTTTGGGAGTGATGCTTACAGGATATTATTGTAAGGGTCCCTGAATGAGCGACGGTCAATCGTGACCGCCATGGACCGTAGAAAACGGATGACTTTTGGTACACTTACCCAACTTCAATAATAAAGTAAGGGTTGCTTAGCAAACTCAGTTGAGTCATCCTTATTCTGATTGTAACACAGGCGCTTGTTTGTTCAACATTGCTCCCCGGGTGAATTGTTCTTGGTATGTGTGTGAGTTTGTTGGGTGTTTGGTGCTTCTCATATTATTTATGCAAAAAGCAGCAGCTTCCAAAGTCTAGCAAGCAAACAGGCCAGCATCCTTAGAGTTTTGCGGACGCCTCGGACCCACCGACATCAGTGCAAATACGTCGAAATTGGTCCGATGGAGTTTACTTCTGTGAAATGATCAAACCCCAAAGCAGTCGAAATGGGTCTGACTGAGCACTTCTGTGAAATGATCAAGCAGAGGTTCAAAGGGTACCCTGTGCAGAGGTTCAAAGGAAACCCCCACCATTCTTGGGGGTTTCCCTTGACGCGTGTGCCAGGGCTATGTGGACAAGGAGTCCTTGCTCGAGCTGTTAGAAAGCCAGGTCGGATCTCGTTTTTGTTATTTGGTTTTGTTCCGGTTGGTGGGTGTTTGAGTGCCCATCGTGGTGAGGAACACATGGGGGTTTCTTTTTTAGAACCCACCGCCCCGCCTCCCCCCAAAACAACAACAACAACAACAACAACAACAACAACAACAACAACAACAACAACAACAACAACAACAACAACAACAACAACAACAACAACAACAACAACAACAACAACAACAACAACAACAACAACAACAACAACAACAACAACAACAACAACAACAACAACAACAACAACAACAACAACAACAACAACCGCAACCGCAACAGCAACAGCAACAGCAACAGCAACAGCAACAGCAACAGCAACAGCAACAGCAACAGCAACAGCAACAGCAACAGCAACAGCAAGAACAAGAACAAGAACAAGAACAAGAACAAGAACAAGAACAAGAACAAGAACAAGAACAAGAACAAGAACAAGAACAAGAACAAGAACAAGAACAAGAACAAGAACAAGAACAAGAACAAGAACAAGAACAAGAACAAGAACAAGAACAAGAACAAGAACAAGAACAAGAACAAGAACAAGAACAAGAACAAGAACAAGAACAAGAACAAGAACAAGAACAAGAACAAGAACAAGAACAAGAACAAGAACAAGAACAAGAACAAGAACAAGAACAAGAACAAGAACAACAACAACAACAACAACAACAACAACAACAACAACAACAACAACAACAACAACAACAACAACAACAACAACAGCAACAGCAACAGCAACAGCAACAGCAACAGCAACAGCAACAGCAACAGCAACAGCAACAGCAACAGCAACAGCAACAGCAACAGCAACAGCAACAGCAACAGCAACAGCAACAGCAACAGCAACAGCAACAGCAACAGCAACAGCAACAGCAACAGCAACAGCAACAGCAACAGCAACAGCAACAGCCACAACAACAACAGCCACAGCCACAGCAACAGCAACCGCAACAGCAACCGCAACCGCAACCGCAACCGCAACCGCAACCGCAACCGCAACCGCAACCGCAACCGCAACCGCAACCGCAACCGCAACCACAACCACAACCACAACCACAACCACAACCACAACCACAACCACAACCACAACCACACCACAACCACAACCACAACCACAACCACAACCACAACCACAACCACAACGACAACGACAACCACAACCACAACCACAGCCACAACCACAGCCACAGCCACAGCCACAGCCACAGCCACAGCCACAGCCACAGCCACAGCCACAGCCACAGCCACAACCACAACCACAACCACAACCACAACCACAACCACAACCACAACCACAACGACAACGACAACGACAACGACAACGACAGCGACAGCGACAGCGACAGCGACAACGACAACGACAGCGACAGCAGCCGCAGCCGCAGCCGCAGCCGCAATTACGACGACGACGACGACGAGGACGACGACGACGATGACGACAACGACAACGACAACGACAACGACAACGACGACGACGACGACGACAACAGCAGCAGCAACAGCAACAGCAACAGCAACAGCAACAGCAGCAGCAGCAACAACAACAACAGCAACAAACGACGAAGAACGGAATCATAGTAGTATTATTATGGCGGCGCTTTGCTTGTTGGTTTCCCGTTAAGAACATATTTTTGGTTTGAGAACACACCCCCAGCGTCACCCCACACAGAAACCTTCCTGATAGGCTTGAGCCGGTATTGATGCATTTCGTTTTGGTGTTTCAAGGAGTGGCCATGAGTGATAAATACATGTTCACCGCTCGAGTTGGAATTTGGTGGCAAACGAATGTTTGCACTTTTTTGCCCAATCCACTCAGGAAGCGAGATACTTGCTGGTATTTGAGGACCCTTCAGCAAATGGAATAACCCTGAGGTGCAGTGGCCATGAGGAAACAAGTCTCACATCTTCTTATCCTTAGATTTGGCACCTGTTGGTTGTTTGCCTCTACGTAGATTGTTTGCCTCCAGGTCATTTGAATCTAGGCCGTTTGCCTTGGGTCGTTTACCTCTGTAGGTCGTTTGTTTCCAGGTCCTTTATCTCTGGGCATGCACCCCTGAGATTTATATGTGTGGTTCCAGTCGTAAAATTGGACTATGCAGGGCGATTTCCGCAGGAAAAACGCTCCCAGGATGCTGGCCGATGATTTTTGAGAGGGATCGCCGCAATACTTGGACCGGAACGATTGCCAGCGGAGCCCCGGAACAAACAAGGATGGGCTATCATGAAGTGGGTAGTATAGAAGCTCCAGTCCATGCAATACGCTAGGCAACAAGGTTCCTGAACATTGGACGCTTGTTTGCATGGAGGAGGGAGCAAAGAGATTCACCCAAACACGTGAATTTCCCATACATGTCCCATACCATTTTCCTTTGGCATTTTGTCGTGTAATGTTAGACTTCCTTTATTAACAGTACCCTCTATGGTAGAAACGTTTATTCTGAATTCAGGATCCTGTGTCAGTTTCTCCTTGACAGAGTGCCCTTTGTGTCCGCCAGGGGCCAGAGGCCATCCAACGCTTCGATAGCCAGCCGCCGCAGCCGCAACAGCCACCGCCGCCGCAGCCGCAGCAACCGCCGCCGCAGTCGCAACAGCAACCGCCTCCTGCCTCAGAAGGGCAGAAGAAGCAGGCGGGCGAATTGTTGTGGTCTGATTTCGTCGAGGTTAGTGCTGAACAGACCTGTTCATGGTATTGCACATGAGCCTTGCCTGTCTTGGGCGAACAGGGTGTGGCAAGTGTGCAATTGTTGCTACGCCTCGTGTTGGTCCCCCGACCTATTCCAATTGCTTTGCACCCTTTCATCTTGGAAAGCCAGAATATCATTTCATCGTTTCTGCTGCGGTGTGCTGGTCAAGTTGCATCACTGCTTGTGCTTTGCTTTCCAGCACCCCAAAAGTGACCTTTCATGTCTCTTGCCATATATGCTTTGAACACAACACCTCTCAATAAATGTGCTCAGCCGGCCTTCCATGTCCATCCGTTGCCCCCATAATTTGGGAAGAGCCGCTTTAAGGAAGATGCATCTACTTGCCAAGTTTCCGGCTGCAAGGATCGCCGTTTGGGTCAAGTTCAACATGGTTTTTGGCCCCTACTTCTTGCCAGGGCACCAGGGAGAATCTGTACCTCCGGTGGGTTTGTGCTTGGTTGCTTGGTTTCTGGGGGCCTCCCAGGCATCGCCTTCGCGGTTTTTTAGCTTTTGACAGGTTTCGTGGGGGGTCCATTTGGGTGTGGGTCAAAATGAAACCAGGAAATGGGCCGCAGGTAGTACATGTTTCCATTTACCAGGGGGCCATTTCCATTTTGGGGTGACCCTATTTTTCACCCATTGAACAGTTGAGGGCAGATATGTTTGGGGCTCCAGATGTTCCCTGAGAACGAGACTTCGGCTCCGCAGAACCCCTTCAAAGACGCCAAGCCTCCGCCGGTGGCCGCAGAGCCCCAGGCGAGTCCGCGATTTCGGATTTCGTTGACGGGGGGAGGGAGGGGGCAGAGGGGCGGAGTGTTCTACAATGTTCTACAGCAGGTGATGTGTTTGTCGTCCTTTTTTTTAACGAGCCTGGTAGACGCTTTAGTAGTACGTAACGTGTTTTTTCCTTGTTTTATTGAGACATGTCAAGATTGTGCGTGGGCGTATGCAACCAAACCTGGTCCGCTTTAAAGGAGAACCAATCAGTGACCGAGGTTCGGTGTAAAACATGCTGCAAACACCACAAATGGCGCTCGGCCCAAACCGCACCAAATGGTGTCCTTGCGCTTTGCAATCAAGCCTATACAGGGCACTAGTTGTTTTCCCCCCCCCCTCGGCTGTATCGGCTTCACAGTTTTGCGCTTTCGCCACTGAATCCTAACTGCTTTGTTGCACTCCGCGGTGCCATGTCGCTGATTCAGCTCAAATTGGTGGCTCTTCTCACTTGCCCAGAGCTGACTTGTGGACTTTTTGGTTTCACTGTTTTGGTCCATATTTATTCGTGGCCCAAAAGGTTAACCGTATATTTCCAGGGCCATTGGGCAACTAAGCCAGAGTTATGTGCAGCTGGACGAGCAGGTTGGTTCCTAGGATGAAGCCCATGTTGCCTTCATTTCCCTCCCATTGGTGCCATTGTTTCGGTTAGTTTGGATAGAAATAGATGAGTTCTGCTGGTTTAGAATGGTTTTACGCCCAATCTATGTTTTCAAAAGGTCACTTATTTCCCCTCCGGGAAACTGCCAATATCGTTTTGGGGGCTGGGGTCCATCAATTGTCCAAGAACCTTCTGCCCAGGTGCTTTGATCTAAAGTGACACGTTCGAAGTTGCCTTCTGAAATGGTTCCCGAAAAAGTAGTTGTGAGAGGATCGCTTAAAGGGTCAAGGTAAAAAGGGGTAAATTGTAGCAGTTGTTGAGTCTACTTTAGAGGCTCCAATTTTAGTTTCAGCTCTCAAAACCCATCGAGCGCACAAAGGGACAGTTCTGGGAATATTTTTATCAGCCCTGCCTCCGCAGGCCGGGATGGCCGCTGCTTGGCTATGGTTCAGAGCGTCGAATGTATGAACCCATATGGCTGTGGGTCAAAAAACCGGTACCCAACATGGAAACCTGGTAAATGCACACATGGACTAAAACCTGCGGTCCCCTGGTGGAACATATGTGGCTGTGCTTGTGAAAACCAATGAAATGGTGAGTTCACCACCCATTTTAGTTGGGATTTTAGTGGGGATTGGGATGTTCACGGGGGGTACGGGATTTTGACCCACACCCATTTCTTGTGTGTGTTTTTGACCGAAGGCCTTTTTGTGTGTGATGGCTGAAAGGGAAGTCAAGGCAAATCCTCCGTTTTGAAATGGCAGGTCCCCAATGTGACCCATACCCCAGAATATGTGACCATGGAATAAACTTACATTTTGAATTACGTGGTATTTGACATTTAGCATGGCTTGGTTAATTCTTGGGCACCAGTCTTTTAAGGGGCCCCGATTGGCCATGATACATATTGACGTACAAAGTCAGCTGTTGAGTTGTGGGGCAGATGCCTCGTGTGCTGATCTGACCAAAGTTATTTCTGGCGACCTGGCTGGCTGCTCGTGATCTGGTCCTTGAGTTCTGGTTATGTTTTGCTTTGTAAGAAAGGTCCTTCAGGGCAGCCTTTTTGAGGAGTCGGGAGACTGTGACTGAGATGCCAGTAACTTCCTGGTAGCTCGTGACAGCACGAATCAATGAACTTAGACACAGATCCAGTACCTTTGACCTTTGTCAGATCCAGCGAAAGCGTTGCACAATGAAAACCCGTCCACCTGCGCAGAAATGTCTCAGCAAAAGGGGAGCTCATGATGCTTGGCTTACGCTAGCTTTCCGGACCCTTGAAAGGACAGTGCCCTTGAAGCTATCTGTTCCAAATCCAACTGTTTCCATTCTTTGGCGCGGAAAAGCTACCTGTTTTTCCGGGTTCAAGCAGCACGCGCTTGGAGTTTCCCAGGAGTACTTCCACACAGCTCAGTTTTGGCATAGCGCCAGTGCTCCCCCTTTGGCGCGGAATCGCCACGATTCCCGTGCCGAGGAATGCAAGATCTTCCTGCTTGGAGCCCTAGAATGATCTCCGAGCCTAGCAGGGTTCCACCCTTGGCGGCAGTTTGTGTGGGTGTTTCGATCATCATCTTTTGGAAAGGCTATGCTAAAGTGAGAATCCTCGTTTCTTTAAGCCAGCCTCATTGTTTGGCCCTTCAAAGTGAGTTTCTCCAGGCAAGCAATACCTTTTGAAAAGGCAACTTAGATTGAGCTTCCCTGTGGTGGTGGTGCAGGGGGACATATTAAGGAACCCCTAGCTGGGGCAATAGCTCCTTGACTTCTACTGAACTTCTCCTGAAGGATCTCAAGGCTGACCCCCTCCCGCCCACAATGAAGGACGTCTCCTCGTGCACTTCCCGGAGATGGTACAGCAAAAAAAACGAGGTCACGTTGTCCTAGTTGGCCATGTCTTCGGTGCAGTTTCGAAAGCACTCCCTTGAAGCATCACTTTGAATCGCGGAGGCTTGACCTGGACGTTATTTGGGGGGGGGGTTGCCAGCTAAAGGGATGGCTTTGTGATGCTAGTTGCTGGACAACAACTTGTCAATTATTCAGGGATGCGAAACCTTCAGTGTATTCAAAGCAAGATCTCTACTTTTAGGACTCAAACAAAGCCGAGCCGAATTTTGTTTGGAGAGCAGCGAGCGTTTGGCGTGAGGACTGACAACTCAATTGGAGATGGGTCCGGACTCTTATGGAGTCTCGTCTCAATGCGAAGGAATATCTTAATCGTACCTGGGGTCTCCAAGATCCGTTGAACATGAGGTCGCCTACCCAAAGAGGTCATTATCACCTGGTTATGGGTCATGGAGCCTCCAGGTAAACGATGTTGTTTCTTCTTCTTTTGCCATTTGTGTTGTTTTTTTTGTGTGTGTGTTTTAATCTGGGGGGTATTCCAGTGGTAAAACAAAAACAAAATACGATTAACACTTAACACAAAATACGGTTGCTTCCGACAATCCAACTGCGAAGGGTAGAAGAACCACACCGGTGCAAAGGGTCGGCTTTTTGGGTGAGCTGGATCTAGGAAAGGCTGCCGGAGCAAATGGCAGAAAGCAAAGTCAAAGAGGCTAAGTAGTTAGACTGGGTTTGTACGGTGCTTCAAAACCACATGAAGTCCTGACCACAGGGCAACAATGTGTGTCATTGTTTAAACTGCCGGCCCTTGTATTAGAATGCTCAGGGTTCAATAAGGATCGGGTCAATGTTCATACACCCACCTTTTGAAGGACCAAGTTGACGATGTTTCTTCAAACACTGGCTCGGATGCAAGTTTCAAGGCTACGCAAAGACACTGAAGAACCTGGCTGTTTCAGCATGGTGTTTGGTTGAAGCCTTGGAGCATGGGCTTTGGTGCTTTGAGTAAATCGCATACGTAGCGACCCTACAGCAACGTCCTTTCAAGCTTCTGGTTGCCTGTTTAGATTCAGTTGTTTGTGATGCGCCGTGCACCATGCTCAAGGTATGTCTTAAACTAGGGGTTCCCCCACCACCCAAAAAAAGAAACACAAAGTAGTTTGTGTTGTGGGTTTCCTGTATCCCAGCCTGAAGTGGTAATAACTCCAACAAACACACACACACACAGAAAAATAGCGACACGTCGTCATCCACCCGGTAGCTCATGGCCAATGCACAATGCACCTGGCCGATTGTTGAGCTTGACCTTGAACTAGAACGCAAGAGATACTGGTACGGTGGACTCCCAAAGTATTGCAAGTGAACCATACACCTCCAACCACAACACCCTTGTTAAACACCTTATATATATATATATATATGGTACCCCCCCCCTTGGAATACTCAGGTGTTTGGCCAGAAATTGACATTGGGCTGTAAAAATGCATGCACAACACACGTTCCAGCTTCTAAAATGAGGCTCTAAAAATGCACGCCTTTTTAGGCCTAAATTCTAGCATCGGTACTTAGGGCAATCCAGGATGTGCTAGCATGTGCTAGCACATCCTGGATTGAAGATTGAAGATTGAAGATTCTGAGACTACTTGTTCTGGAAATCTTCAATCCATCCTTAGGACAAACTGATATGTGCTAGCACGTGCTAGCACATCCTGGATTGCCCTAAGTACATATTTGGGGAATTTCAGAAAAGGTTGTCAGAGAATCTTCAATCTTCAGATCCTGGGTTGCCCTAAGTGCGGATTGAAGAATCCAAAAGGCAGACCGGGAGTGCACGTTGTCAGAATCAAACTGTGGATGTGCACTTGCACTGCCTGCATTTGGCCAGGGGGGAAAATTGTTGTTGACATCTTTACAGTTTTGTTGTGGACTCCAGGATGGAAGATTCTCAAATAGAAAATATGGTAGATCTTCAATCTTCAATGCAGGGGGCAAAACCTTAATGAGTCTAGAACAAACTGTCAAGTTTTTAGGGGACCAGGATTGAGGATGTTCTAAACATCTGTTTGTGGAATCTTGTATACTCGATCTTCGATCCAGGGCAACACGATCTGAGCAAATGCTGTCAAACACTGCGTTGTACAGCATTTATGCCAAGAACAAGATCTATGATTGAAAGTCATGGCTTGGCTCAGTTCTTTCTTGGTTCAAACCACATGGAGTTCGATAAGGACAATCACCCTTTGAAAAATGAGTTTGATTCCAAATTCATTTGGCCATGACAATAGCCATCTTCTCTAGTTTATTTTTGAAATGCACAAGAAATTGTAAACGAGTAAACTTGAATTTGGTTTGAACTCGAAAGCGTTTTAAACTGGATATCCTTCCCTTGCTTGAATTTCAATAGTTGTTATTGGCGATGGTTGAGCCAAGTTAGACAAGCAACACACACACATGGGATAGTTATGTTTCAAATAGACTGAACTAGCATGTACATGGAATTCTGCACAACACTCGAGTTAACACGTAAATGCAACTGCGCAAGGACATGACGTAGGAATGAGTTCCTTTTCCCCAAGTTGATGATCTGCTTAACTTCGCTGCCAAACAAAGGTAAGAAACACAAAATAGCAGAGCTGCTACAGGCGCGTTGAAGCTGCCAAAGCATACTTCGCGCACTACTCTTGTACTGGACAGTTGTGTTTTTTGAGCTGGAGCTGCCAAAGTGAACTTTGCATACTCCAATGTGACGGTCACACAACTCGCAACTCCTTCAACGTTGAGCTTAACTTCTGCTTGGTTGGAATTTGCATGGAGTTGAGCGTCCAGTCAGTTCATTTCAGAATCTCAAGGCATTTCTCACTCCGAGTCTGGCCCAAAACCTCAGTTCTGGCAAAAACCTGAGTATTTCAAGGGGGGGTAGCATATATATATATATATGTATTTAAGTAAACTACAGAGTTTCCTCCACTTGCAATATGTAGGGCATCCACGGTAGCTGGTTGGTGTCCTTTAGAACGCTCAACAGGAAGCCATCCTTGGCTGAATGAGGGATTCATTCAGATAGATACACCAGAGAACTCCCCTTGACAACGCAAAACCCTCAAAGACATGGCCCCCCTTTCTCCACTTGTTCAATGTCCCGTTCCGCGGAACGGAGTCAATCAACCAAACAAAAACTCCCCTTTCGGTAGAGAAAGTGTGTTTTCAGGATGAGAACGCTGCAGGACAAAGGAGCCTTCACCGGCATGTCTTAACATAGCAGCCACGGACCGGCATGGCTTGTGAGGATTGTTCCGAACCTGCATGTCTCTGTGACTCGTTTGAGTTAGGACCTTTCTTGATAAGGAAAGCCTAAGGGCGCCAGGTTCCACAATCGGCACCCTTTCTTTTGGCCCAATCCTCAATGTGACTTTTGTTGATCCGGAGTAGCTGGAGCCGCACCTTGCAGTTCACAGTCTAATGCAAAAAGTCCCGCAGAAAGTGGTGGTCCACCATGACTCTGCTCTCCAAATGCAGGTATGTTTCAAGTGTCAGGCAACACTTCAGGGTAGCATCTCGAACTCGTGGCAAGCAACACGTGCGCGGGCTTGGGAGAACTGACATAGACTTGAATCCTTCTCTGCCTGCGCGCAGCAGTTGCCCAAGCGTTGACAAAACACCTGTTCGATTGGCAGATGACCCACCAAAACAAGAGTTTCAATGGACAGAACTACCTCCTCTCGGGGTCGCTTCCTTGTTTTCCTTTGGCCCATAAACCTGATCCCAACAAGCCAACAAGCTCGCCGAAAGAAACGTGTGGAAAGGGCATGGAGCCACCGAAAGAGACAGCAGAATGCAGCAGAGGCGGTTGCCAAAGTTTGTGGCATTGGCCATGCATGCTTCAAGTAGCTCGCCAGACAAGTGTAAAGACACACACACACACAGACACAGACACCTTGGCGGTTCCGAGCCATTCCCTTAAGTGTTTTTTTTTGTTTTTTTTTGTGGGGGTTCAGCGGGGGTTTCCAATATTCAACCTTTAGCGGGGGATCTGAGGGCACACATACACATCTGTCTTGGAGATCCTGGGCGTCGAGCTTTCCGGGAAGACCATTTTAGTGGTAGAGAACAATCTGAAACATTTCCTGGCACCCCCTGACTCGGGGAGCGATGTGTATTTGTGTATATGTTTATAGTAGATGTCCTGTATGTCTTCAGACATATATACATAACATTATATATATATATATATAGATAGTTACACATGTGTTTGTGGATTGATGGCTGCTTGGCATGCTTCACTCAGCATGCCAGGTGAAGTCGGACTCCAAGCTGATCACCATCGAGCTGGAGGTCGGGCCAGCAAAATCACGAGAGGCGGCTTGCCGCTGTGGGCATAGGTGTCCTTTTTAGTGGTTTTGCTCGAAAAATCAAGTTTCATCATTTACCAGGGCCATCTATTTCCCCTAAAAGGACACCTATGGCTGTGGGTCCGTTTTTTTGTGGGACGCCCCTGAAGTGACTTGCTGGTTCGATAGGCAGGACATGAGTTGGAATGACCCTCAGACAAAATCCCCGATGCGGTTTCCTTTGAGGAAATTCCCTTCTTCATGCCCAACACCCTGGGTCATTCCTCTTATCTGGGCACCAGCCAGATAAGCGGCGCCCCTTTGGTTGCTGTTCAAAACCCAAAAGGGCAGCCTCGAGACACGATACCCAGCAGCTAGACCATCGTTCGCCGTTGTTTTTTTAACTACCTGGCTGGCCTTTGGCATGACCCAACCGCCCCTTAGGACCTTTGGACACAAATTGTTTTGCATGGTTTCCATTAAGCCCAGTTGCCCAGTGGCGCCCTTTTTCCCTTGTTTTGGGAAGGGTTCCCTTTTAAACTCAACCAACCAAAAAGGATGCCCTTGTTTCCCCATGGCCACTGGGCATCTGAGTAAACGTACAAACGCTTAGAGCATTTGCCTGGGGGGAAAGAGCAACCCAGACTATAGCAGGCGACCAGCCATATTCCGTTCGGGCGTCAAGGGGTGGGAAGCTGGGACACCCCTTGATTACCTGCAAGGAAATGGAATCATTGAAAAATACAACTTTTCGCCTTTGTTGTGTCTGATTTTCCCGGCAGCTATACGGGCATTCGGCCTTGACCGGTACATGTATACTGATACTTAAATGATCTTACATGGATGTGTTAATATGTAAATATGTGTTGTGGCACCCAACACGCAAATCGGGTTACATACCAGCACTCTCTAACTCTCCAATGACAGTTGATTGTGCAACGTCCAAAGCAAAAAGTGCTATCCACAAGGCCTCGTTCGATCTAACAGGACCATGTTGCTAATATCTAATCTTTTATCACTTCCATGGAGTTTGGAATTCTTGAACAAGGACGCCTGAGTTGTCGCCCTTCCCCTCTTCCCCTCCCATCCAAATTGCCTTGCACTGCTTCATGCTTCTTGCAAAGGGTGGCCGTTTGAGCTCGGTTTCAGACTTGGAGCGGGCTACAGAGAACTGAGACCGGGACTTTATCAAGGTTCAGGTCTAGAACTCACCCTGCTTGGCCTTAGTTTGCTGTGTGGGTATCCGCGCAGCAGCTTTTTGGTGATAAATCACCAGAATAGCAGCCGTTGTCTTAAGCCTGCAGCCAGCCACGGGGGTATGTGAGAGGGTTTATGCTCATTCGAGTGGGCGACAAATGAAGGTTTCACCCCCCCCCCAAACACCCCATAGTGCCCTCTGTTTTTTCTTTCTGGAGAAGCCTTCGGAATCAAGCACCAAAACTGGCTGCCGCTTTTTGTCCCATGGGCAATGGTGGTTGGGGAACCTTTTTCTCGCTTTGATGTCTGTTGTTTTGTTGGAAGTGATGGAAGGCCCCAGATATTCTCCACCGTTTCTGGGTGCTACATCGCCCTATTTCATTTTTCCAGACCCTATGTTCTTCTACCCAGTTCTTTGGAGGAGCATCGTCTTCTCAAGTGGTTTTGGGAGCTTCCATGCATGGAGTTGTTTGACAACCAGGCTACCATCGCACGTGCGGGAGCCGATTCAACATCAGTAAATCTGACTCGCAAACCCGGCAAACCACCAAGAAAGCAAACACATGGCCTTCTTCGCTTGATTTCAAAGGCAAGCCCTCTCAGCGAAAGGGGACAAAGGGGACAACAACTATCTGAGACGTTCATTTGCCATATTTCAATCGACCAAGATCAACAGCGGGTGCCCAAATTTTGCAAAACGCAGAACTAAAGCAAGAGTTTCTTTCGTCCAAACAATCAACCCTTTTCAGCTGATGAAAGTGTCCCGAAAACCCAACGTGGTGCAGTTCCATGATTTTCAGGAGGGTCAGGCTTCCAAGATTGGGCTGTCACATTGAAAGCCTTTAAGCAATAGTTCTTCAAACATGTAGCGAGGGGTTGGTCCGACTTTTCAACTGTTTGCAAGTCAGTTGCCTTCAGGTAGGTTGCTCCCCCTTGCGCTTTGTGGTGGACACCTGCAGCTATCACTCCATCATGAAGGCAAGCGGCTGTTATGTGCGACTTCTTCGGGGCTACTTGTGTATGTATGTGTCAAAATATGGGGGGAAACCGAAAAAACGATGGTTTCGTCTTGGTCCAACACGTCTCCTGCAAATCTGGGAGTGGGGAAACTTGCGGACCGGACTGATGAATCCACTGGGTCCAGACTGGGCTCGATGAAACTTGAGTACTGCTCCCCAAGCTTCTGAACTTGGGTCGCTTTGGGTCGACTTGCATAGTTTCACCATGTTCCAATCAACTCAGGATGTAAGACTTTGGGGTCCGAAAGGTTAATTCATTATTGTCATGTCCACTCATGTCTTGGGAGAAGGCGAATATACTCAGTCCCATTTACCCATGTGCCCTTTGTAGGGAGTCGCTTTTTTTTTTTTTTTAGGTTCCCCTCAATTGGATTGGATTGGTTTGAGCATTTGACTTTGTGGTTCTCAGTGCGGAATGACCTTTTGGTTTTCAGAATGAACCCAGGGTCCCCTTCAAGAAAACCACCAGTTGGATGGTCTCTTTTGGGGTCATTCCATTTCTGATTCCCTGCCTATAGAACCAAGCTTGCTTGCCATGCAAACCGGGCCAGTGAATGTGCGGACTCCCTCACAGACATTCAGAAACCTGGATACATCCCAGTTGCCCAGTTGCTGACCTCCTGTTTTTTTTGGTTTTTTTACACCCCTACATCAACCAACGGCTCGAAATGGTGTTCCGTTTTCCACATCGCAACAAAGTAACTGCACCGCTGCAACCCCAAGAATGAGCAACAGGTGCCCCCGGCAAGAAACCCTGAGAACCTGTCCCGGTTGTTTAAACCACCAAAGGCCGCCAGGCCTTGATGGTGTCTCCTTCAAATATGAGAGAAACAGGTGTATAGATATATTTATATATATATATATATATTTATATACATATACCCTCCCACCAATTGACATGGAACTTGACAGGGGTTGCCTGGAAGACAATTTTCCTTTTAAAGGCACCCCGTGGCAGGTTCCATGTAAATTAGTAGGAAGATATATATATATATATGTATTATATGTTAGACGCAATATGCTGCATAATCTGAACAACGTTTTTTTTGTGTATCCCATGGGCCAAGTTTTGCGTGTACCATTTGTGCTTCGTGTCATCTCTCTACCAGGGCTTCACCATGCTGGTTCTCAGAGAATGAGAAATGGAATGACCCCAAAAACAACCGTGGTTTGAGTTGGAACCCCGAAAAAGACCATCCAAATGGTTTCGAAGGGGCACTCCTGGCGTGGGACCGGCCGCCGACCGCAAATCCGCCCAGGAGGCCTTGGCCTCGAACCTGCACCAGGCCCGGCTCTGCGGGGAGCCCGACTGGGCCCGTGAGGAGGCCGGCGCTTCGCGCTTCATTTCTCGACGGTTGGAGCCCTTTCGGGCGGGGTGGCAATGGGTAGCAAAGAGGCTGTGCACCTGCCATTTTAGAACCTATTTTAGCGGGGACTGGGATGTTCACTGGGGGTACGATTTGGAGTTTGACCCATGGCCAAGTGAAAAGTCTCTCTCTCCTGCGAGGGCAGTGCCTGCGTGAAACAATATCATGCAACCCGGGGGGCACCAAGCCCAAACGCAGCCCAAAAGTGACAAGTACCAGCTGAGAAGTTGATGGCTCGATCCGATTTTTCGATTTGGGAGTAGATCGATCCGATTTTTCGCTGGGTATGGGCCTGAAAAGTGGGGAACTCCCAACAGCGGGGTTTGCCTTGGGTGGGTTCCCGTTTTGCAGTTCCTTTTTGGAGGGGGTGTACCTTGTGTCCCATGACCGATCGATCCTTTTGCGGAGTGTACACTTCCCTGCAGATTAACGTAGAACCCCCAACAAAAACACCCTGCTTTGAGAGGGAACTCCTTTTGGCGGACCTTTTGGGAGGAGTGCCCGGCGTTAAAATGGAATGTTGAACCAATATTCCAAGCACAGGATGTTAGGTGTGTGGGCCAAGTCTGGGCTCCATGACCCTTCCAAGGTTTTTTCACAAGAGATCCACCTGAATTTGATGGTTCTTCTAGGGATTGATTCCCCATTCTTTTCAATCATCGTTCTTTTCAACAACCAGCTGTTTCCCCAGGGTTTTGGGTGGTTTTGTAGAAAGAAGGATGCCTGAAGTATGGAGAAGGTACCCCTAGAGTTCTCAAATCACCGGCTCTGAAGTCTCTTCACTGGATAAATGACAAACACGCGTCATCGCGACGGATGGCCGGGGGTGTTGGGAGCTGTGGGTTGCCCATCCACGTTTAGTGCAAGCATGTCCAGGCAAATTTATCCTTGATTTCTCAAAGTTCCGGGGTTCGGGGGTACTTGGGCCCTTTGGAGTGAGTGCCCAAAAAGTCCTGTTGGCCGTTTAAGTGGGCGGTTCTACCTGGTTTGTTCGCGGCATAGGGCCCGGCCACACAAATCTTTCATGACCATGTTAAACCACAAGTCAGTGGGCTTCGGGCGCTGCTCAAGTGAGAAATCCAACCTCAACCTTCCAGAGGGTCCAACTTGGTACCCTTTGAGCATGTTTCGGAGCTGTAAACACTTAAACAGGGGTTCAAGTGTTTTCTGGTACCAAGGCACACTGGTACCCAAGTGTTTTCTAAGAAGGTACTGGTACCAAGGCACACTTAGGTCTTCCGTGGCCGCGTCTTGTTCACTTGCACCCGAACGCGCCGTCCAGCGCCGTTTGGTCAGCGGAGAGTCGCTCGGTGAGACCCATGGATCCGGACATACCCGGCACGCCCTTACCCGGGTCGCCGGTCCACAATCGGCCGCTCGGCTGATTTGCGTTTGCTGGTTTTGTATGTCTTGTATGTTTTGTTTGTTTGTTTGTTTGTATGTTTGTTTGTTTGGATTGTTCCTTGGTATTTGACGAGCACGTGTTTTGACGGGCCATCAAAACGGAGTTCGTTCAGAACGGAGCCGCTTTCCAACCGCTGTAAGGACGGACATCGACGAACCCAAGGAAAGCACAGCAGCCTGGCTCGCCTTTTTGCGAACAGCCTTGGCTGCTTTTGGAAAAATACATGGCCCTGGTTTACCTGGTGGTTTAATCATTTGCCAGGGCCATCTCTTTCCCCTAAAAGGACACCTATGGCGGGTCCTTTTTGGTTGGGGATTCTTGTGCGCTTCTGGGGTTCGGAAAGGGAGCCCAAGGCAGAGCCAACATAGTTTGGGGAGAACCGCCATCTTCGGGGTATCAAAAAGGGATGTACATTTTGTTGGACGCTTTTGTGACCCTGAGCAAACAAAGGGGGCACCTGAAAATGGTTGATCAACATTGGGAAACTCATTTGATTTGCTCTGGGCAATCTATAGCGAGGTCTCACCCACAATGAAGATTAGCCTTACTTGGGGATGCTGTTGTTTCCAGTGGGCAATTTGTTATTGTTGTTGTTTCTTATTCAGTGACATTTATATTATTGGTGTCCCATTGGCTTCCCTTTCAATCAACTCCAAAATGGGTATCTCACCAGACGCGCCCATATCAGGTTTGCTAGACTTTTGAACACAGCAACCATGGTGGCAGTGCGGAACTCTCATGTGTCATGCGCAGTAGCTGTCACAATTCATGTAAGCGGCTAACTAAGATGTCAATCGAATTTGTTCGATCATCATGACTTAACTTGGTTTTAAAGTACCGCACAAACATAATCTAATCTTTGTACCATGTTATTTGAGTTGTTTACCATCTCACCCAGCCAGTGGGCGCACTTTACACTTTTTCCCTTGGTGGCTCTCCCTTTATTTTAGCGGTGGCCCAAAAAGCCACCAAGTGAGCCATGGCTGAGGTTAAGGACGATCCTGTGCTGACCTTGAACTTGGGCCTTGCCCGCAGCAACGCCAGTGCCAGAGAGGCCAACTCCGAGGACGAAAACTGCGCGCTTAGAGCATGGCTCGCCCAGGACATCTCGGGAGTCGGCCCGGGCTTGCCCACTGAGCCAGTGAAACGAGTATAAGGGCCGAAATACTTAGAACTTTAGAACTGGTTGTATGGTACCTTAAGAGCAAGTCGAGCTATGAACATGTGAAAAGACAGTAATTCTTGAGCCCCCATATTATTTCTAGGCTACCTTTGTTCAGTGGAATGCAGGCCTAGGCCGAGTTGTTCAGTGGATTCCACCACTGAATTCCTTTTTGTTTGGGTTGGGGACCCACCAAATCAGGGCGGACTGGTTCCCCCTTGTTTCTATTGTTGGGTCTCTGGGTGCCGCCAAAATGCCGAGAAGCACCGGGAAAGCCACCCATGGCAGTGGGTGGGATTTCAGTTTCTCCGGAAGACTCGATCAAATTGACCTGGGGAGCCGACCTTCAGCACTTTTTGGGCACAGCAGACAAGGAGTATTCTTGTTGGAAGCGGGTTTCAACATTTGGGAAGATAGGTTCTTTTCCTGCCTGGCCTGCCTTGCCTGCTTGCTTGCCTGCCTGCCTGCTTGCCTGCTTGCTTGCTTGCCTGCTTGCTTGCCTGCTTGCTTGCTTGCTTGCTTGCCTGCCTGCCTGCCTGCTTGCTTGCTTGCTTGCTTGCTTGCTTAGCTGGCTTAGCTGCTCGTTTACATGGTTGGTTGATTGATGCCTTTCTGTGCCGCATAGATAGTGTCCTCTCGCCTATGCCCTCCAGTGGTGAGTGGACTGGAAGGGAACGTGCCGCCAACAAACAGCACCCGTATGGGCGTTATTTCAGGGTACCCATGTTTTGTGGTGTTAAAAAGGAAAGCAACAGGAGAACGACCTAATTTTGCGGGGGGTCCCCTACAAAAAGACATGCGCATATACATCTGACATCTCGTTTGAACTTGCCTTGCATTGGGAGGCTTACTAAACATGGAGCAGGGGAAAAAAACACTCATTATGGGGTTGGTGGGCAACAACTGAGGTAGACATGTTTCCTTTGTGGATACAACTGAAATCATGTATGGGTGGCGCTGACCTCCATGTTTTTCTCAGGGTAGGTGCCCGCTCTTACATCCATTCTAGTGATTTTATACCAAAACTAGCACTGGAGAGTTCTCTCTCACCATTAGCTTCTTTTGGGGGCTGAGCTTCCCACGATGCCTGATTGAATCGCAGCAAACCCCCCTTCCCTCCCCTCCTTCCCCTCCTTCAGGGTTCGATTCCCCCCCCTCCCCGGCATGCGCATTCCCGTTTTCCAGCGGCCACATGTTTGCAGCTGGGGAATCTGCCTCATTGGGACCGGGTCCAAGTTTGGGTCTTAATGAATTCTCACTTCCTGAGTTCATGAACTTCAAACTTTTTGGGAAGACAATTTTAGTGGTAAATATAGAGTTTGGGTTTTTTTTGGGCCATCCACTCAGCCAGTGAGACTTTCTGGATTTTCAATTCGAGAGTTGCTGTTCTTAATATCTTCGCAACTTGGGTCCTACATCTTGTTCAGCTTTCGCTCACCCGCCTCTTGCTCACCTGTTGGGCTGGCTAGCTTTAGTTCACCCGTCTCTCAAGTGGCGAGCGGGTCAAATGAGCTTACCACCATGCAGGGCTTTTGCTTGGGATCCCATACTTCAGGTTTTGGAATAACTGTAACGCAAGAAACACATGATGCAGATGACTTCTGGGTGACGGCCATTTCGGAGGGTCTAAAATCAAGTTGTTTCTTTTTCCGCTTCAACCGGAGATCCTCGGAGTTGGCCGCTTTGTCCAGGAGCTGGAGCGTCAGAATGCCGCTCTTTGCAAGCATCTGGATGCAGCCTTTGATCGCCAGCTGAGAAGCCAAAGAAGCCCCGCGGCGGTGACGAAGCATTCAGCTGGGGCTAGAAATATGGGGTGTCAAAATAGCATTTTTGCAGCCACAAGCGAAACATGGATTTTTGCAGCCAGAAGCCGAGTATGTTGCAGCCACAAGCCAAACATTGATTTTTGCAGCCACAAGCGAAACATGGATTTTTGCAGCCACAAGCCAAGTATGGATTTGTGTAGCCACAAGCCAAATATGTTGCAGCCACAAAGCAAACATTTCTTTTCAGCCACAAGCCAAAAATGGATTTTTGCAGCCACAAGCCAAACATGGATTGTTGCAGCCACAAGCCAAATATGCTGCAGCCACAAAGCAAACATGTGTTTTTTCAGCCTCAAGCCAAATATGGATTTTTGCAGCCACAAGCCTTGGTCCTCTGAAAATCCGGTGATTGAATCATGTTGACCCCATATTAATCAACCCGTGTTGATGAATATGGGTCCCCACTAAGCCCAGGGACACACCCTATTAATGAACAGCCCTCCGTGGTTGATTAATCCGGGGTGAACATTATTATACTGAATTTCTGGATGTTCTTTTTTGGTGGAAGACCACTTCGGTGGTAAGCAGGAGCTTGGACTTGTTTTGGCCTATCCACTCAGGAAGTGGGAGCAGGACCCCCAAACTGGTGGTTTCTTGTCCTTTTGGTTTTTCTTTTAAACCATCCACCAAACGGGTACCCTCAAAGAGGCACACGCACACAAAACCCATCTGGATTTGAATTCTAAGAGGCTCCCACCGAATCAGGATGCCCAAATGGTCTCCCAAAGCCATGGTGTGTCTTTCTCATGAGGCTACCCTTTTAGTGGTTGGGGTTGTTTTGGAAGGAAGCCCAAGGTAAGCCAACCATTTATTGGGTTTTTTTCATTTCTAAAATCTGAAACGGGTGTGTGTTTAAATGGGGGGGCGACCCCAAAAATGGATGGCTTTCCCTTCGGTGTCCCTTTCAATCCTCACAAGGGGTACGCACAAAAATCCGCAGAAAGCGGCTTCAATCATCACTTGTTGCGCCAGTTTAGAATGAGAATCCTTTTGGTGGGGTGATGTTCGAAGTGGCACAAAATCGGAAGCCCTGGGAACCAGCTGATCCTTGGAATTCCAAAGATCTTGGGCAGTTTTCCGAACAGTAGGATCCCTGGATAGAAACTGGCTGCAGAACGGACATGGGCTTCCTCGTGGATGGGTCTTTAGTTTTGAATCCATGCATGAGCCGTGAGACTTCAGGGATGCATTTGTGTGTTTCATGGCGAGTGCGAAGGATAGCCAAATAAACAAAGGGCCGTGGGCGAGTGGGCACTTTTGGTGAGAATATTAATGTATATATATATATATATATGTATACAAATGTGCGTTAGGGGTTCTCAAGTAGAGCACCCCATTTAAGTGCTTTCCTCCAAGAGAAACATTCCTACATTACATGAGAAACATTCTATGGCGATCGTCATGAGTTGATTCCGCTTCCACTATAGAGGGAAACCGGTCTTGTTCAACAGGGGGTTTTCTTTGGTTACCTAGGGAAATGCAATCGCCGCGAGTGAAACCATCTTTCTCATCAGTGGAATCCATCGATTTTGGAGTTTTCTACTGCAAACCTACTTCTCATTTTTTCCCTTGGACACTCGGAGTGTCCAAGACCCTCAACAAATGGGTTCTCGACCCTTGTTGAGTTTGCTAGGGACGAAAGCCTGCAGGATGGATGATGTTTCATTGGGACAAACCACCTGACTGCGAAGTGGAATTGGTCCATCCGAGCGGGTGTGCCTGTCCATTTTTTGGGGAACCCCTCCATTTTATGGTGGTGCTCCTCTTGGTTTTCCTTTAAAGCCACCCCACTTTTGGGGTACCCGAAAAGCCAACCAGGCCCGAAACTCCCGCATTGCCCCCTGGGAGTCTGGGCCGAGGCGCTCTCGAAAAGCTGGCGCTTCGCCTCGAACGGGACAACGGGAACGAGGACTTGCGCCTTGCAGGCGGCTGACGTCGTTGCGCGTGAAACAAAAAGTATTGGGCTGAATCCCCTACCCTTCATGGTCGTTGTTGGGAAACATGTTACATTTTTGCTTATTGTGGTTTAGTGGTTGAAATCCACCCACTTAACTGCTTAAAAAAAAGATGCTCCCCTTCCAACGTCAACCAAGCCTTGGGGGCTGTGGGTAACTGGTGTCTCTGACGCAAGACACTGGGGGCCCACTGGTTCTGAGCTCAGTATTGAACATACCGTATCATGATCCTCTTTTCGGGTTGGATTCCAACCACTCTTTTCAGCCATGGTTCTGTTCAAAACCCAGCTGTTTCCCTGGGATTTTAATGGTTTCCTGAAAACAAGTTTGATGGTTTCCTGCGAAGAAGGATGCCTGGAAAGAATGGGGAAGCTACCAACTGGGCCACACTCGAAACCCGGGTGGGTGCCGATCGCCGCTTTTTTCTTTTTTTTACTTCTTGGCATGTTTCCGGGTAGACCATGTTAATACCAGGTTTTCTTTGTGACTCCACTGGTGTGGTTCAGCCGTCCCTGTGGACAAACCTGAAAAAGAGCGCGCTTGTTGTGGCCATGGTCAGGTCAGCCCATCTCCGGGCGGCTAAGTTTCTGGAATTCAGGACCCCTTTTTTGGGAAGTCGACCCGGAACATGGGAGACTGGGTCCCAGTTGCCCAGTGGATTCCGCTCTATTTTTGGGAAGGGTTCCCATTTAAACTGAATTAACCCAAAAAAAGATGCCCCTTCTTTTCCCATGGCCACTGGGCATTTGAGGGGTATGCGAATCGAGCTCTCAGGGGTAAGCGAATCGACTTTGCAGGTCTTCAAGTTTTGAGGGAAACCAAACGGAAGCCGACCTTTTGGATCCATTCCCGGATCCCCTCAAAATTGAGACACACCTAGTCGGTGTGTCCATTTGGAGACCCATCATGGTGTCTCTCGGATTCCCTTAAGACCACACGTCCAAGGCTTGGGGCTCTTTGCGACTGTTTTGGGCTTGTCTCTGGGATCTTGAGGTAGGATGGCTATCACTTTCTTGCAGTTGTTTGTTTTGTGGCACCTTTCCTTTTTCGCGAGGGGAGAGTCCTCTTTTACCTCTACATAGCCCCTTTAAGTGGGTTGGACCATAGCGCTGAAGGGTAAGCTCCTAAAGGAGAAGGGTGGATGGGTGAGTCTAGGGGGAAAGAAAAATGAGATATCCAAAGGTCATGAGTAATTCCGGCTTGCTGCGTGCATGTGGGCAACTTGGAAGCTCACCTAGGGGTGGCATGAAGTCCTTACTTCCTTCCAGGCTTGGTTTTGTAATCTGCCCGAGAAAGGGGAGTGTCAACACACGCCCAAACGGACGCCCAGTTCAAGGGACCAAGAAATCACTCATTTTTTGGTCCTCCCTTCCCTTTAGGGTTCAACCACCCGCTAAAAACATGGCAAGGGGACCCACTTTGGAGGACAACCCTTCGCTTAGGTAAACAATGGCGGTGAAATACGAACCCAACCATTGTTTTCATGGTGGCACTGCCTGAACCCCAAGCTTCCATTTGCTCAATTAAGACTACTTTTTATTTTCCCCTCTTGGTGTTGAAGGGATTTTTCACTGGATTTGTTTCTATGCTTCGCGTTGCCCGCCTCGGCCCAGCCTAGTTTGAGGGAAGGGTCAGGAACACCGAAATCCAGTGTTGGGAAGGTCCGAATACCTGAAGCTGGCTCCAGACAAGTCAGACAAGCCGGCCTCGCCTGGTTGGGCTGGGCCACAGGCTAGTCTCAGACACATCAGATAAGCCTGCGCTGGGCCTGAAGCTAGTCTCGGGCAGCTTGGCTGGACCTTGCTTGCGTGGGTTGTTGGTTGAGCTGAAGCTAGTTTACGGCGGGCTGGGCAGCCGCACTGAGGGGGCTGGGCTATGGCTGGGCTGGGCCTGAGGCCAGTTTCAGACACGTCAGACAGGCCTGGCCAGCAGGCGGACTGGGCTGGGCTAGACGCTAGTTGAGCCCAGGCTGGTGAGGCCCAGTCTCGGCGCTAGATAGGCTGAGGCCTGCGAGTCTCAAACCGGGTGGGCTTGGGTGGGGTTGGCTTAGGCGGGTTGCTGGTTGGGCTGGGCCTGAAGCTAGTCTCAGCCACGAGGCTGCGAAGCCATGGGTGGTGCTGGGCAGCTGGATTATGGTGTTGGTTGCGCCTGGAACTTCGGCTGGCTGGGCTGAGCTGTGCTTGGGCGGGTTGCTGGATGGGCTGAGGCTGGGTAGCGAGTTGCTGGCTAGACACGTAAGACACGCCAGCAGGCGGGCTGAGGGACTGGGCCTGAGGCTAGTCTCAGGCTGGCATACCTTGAGACCAGTCTCAGACTGCGCCGAAGGGGCCTGGTCAGCCTGGGCTGCTGAGTAGCTGGCATAGCTTGAGACCAGTCTCAGAGGCCAGTCTCAGACATGTTAGACAAACCTGACCTTGGCACACTGGGCTGAGCCTGCTGGTGGGCTGGGAGCTGGGGGCCGGTAGTGGCTGGCATGCCCTGAGATGCGCTGGGGCCTGGGCTGGGCAGGCTTTGGGCTGGGCCTGAAGCTAGTCTCAGCCACGAGGCTGCGAAGCCATGGGTGGGTTGCTGGCTGCCGGGCAGCCGGACGCTGGTTGTGCCTGGAACTTGGGCTGGGCGGGCTGGGCTGAGCTGTGCTTGGGCGGGTTGCTGGATGGGCAAGGCCTGTTTCATACACACTTGGGCCCGAGGCTGGGTGGCGAGTTGGCTGGGCTGGGCCTGAGGCCAGTCTCAGGCTGGCGTACTTTGAGACGGGGCTGGGCCTGCTGGATGGCTTGGGGCCAGACGCAAGCAGGAGGGGCTGAGTTGCTTGGGCAGCCGGACTGAGGGGGCTGGGGCACGTCAGACGGGCTTGGTGGCTGGCATAGCTTGAGACCAGTTTCAGACACGTGAGACTGGGTCGTTGGCGTTAGACAAACCTGACCTTGGGGCCGGCCTAGGGCCTGGGCTGGGCGCTGGGCTGGGCTTGCTGGATGACTTGGGGTAGGCCTGTTTCAGACAAGCTTGGGCCTGAGGCTGGGTGGGGCTGACAGGCCTGGCCAGCAGGCGGGCTGCTGGTTGGGCTGGGCCTGAGCCTAGTCTCAGACACGTCAGGCAGGCCTGGCCACCAGGAGGTCATGCTTTTCAGGACAAAAAAGCAATTTTTTAGTGATTTTCGGTCTGCGCCTGGACTCGGAAGCCAGACTGCGAGGAGGCGCGGCTGCTTGCGGGGCTGCCCGAAGTGCTGCTGCCAGTGCGCAGCGTGAAGTGCTGGCAATTGTCAGCACATTTTCGACAAAAATGGACCCATGGAGCTGGACGCCGACGAACCCCGAAAATTTCAAGGCCCGCCGGACAGGATTTTGGGTCCAGCCGACATGGGTGGGGGGGCCCGGCAAAATTTTGGTTGGGGAGGGGGTTGGGGGAGGGGAAAAGCGAAGATTCTCTTTGGAGAAGAGATCTGAGCGCCCTTGGCCCCTTTGGGGCCGAGGCGAATTTGCTTAATTCAGACTATTCGTAATTTCCCCTGTTGGTTTTCAAGGGAATCTATGACGACTGGATTTTGTTCCTATTTTTTTCAGGGGGCTTAGGCAAATGGCGATGATTCGCCTTGGCCAGGCCTCTCCTTCGTGCCGAGCTGCGTGCCCCCCGGGAGCCCCCCTCGGATGGCGAAGCCCCCCGGCCCCTCGGCGCGAAGAAACCGACCCGAGCGTTTCGCGCGGCGCGCGGGCGAGCCACTCCTAAGACCCCTGGGGCTAGGTCCCCCAGTAGTGCCAACTTTTACCGTTTCTTTTTTGGGGGGAGGGTTACTATAATAGACTACAGAAAAAAGAAAGGGTGCTCTATAGTATAAGCTTATTCTAACCTCTCTACTGGAGGACCTACAGGGGGTTCACCCATGGTTTTCCGCTTGTTGTTCGGGGTTCCCCAGTATCTTGGTGTTGTTCTAGGAAAAGAAGGGGTGCCTCGAGTTTCTGTTTTGTGTATTGTCACAAGTTGAGTAAGCGCGAAATAGGTGGGGAAATCGGAATCGGGGGATGTACATACATGGGCATATCTTTTGCCCCTTTTTGGTTGGTGTTTGACAACGGAACCGACATGCTTGGGGGTTCCCTCATGTTTGAGACGGACCCATGTGTGTATAGATTTATCGGTGTGCTCAATATACGAGACTCCTGCAGGTTGGTTGCCTGTTGGTTTCCCTTTTTTGAGCTGTGCAAAACGGGGGCCGCATTTTGAAACGGAGTTGTTTCTTGGAGTTCTTTTTTGGAGAGGTACCTTGTTTGTGTTTGATATTTTTGTGAATTCGACAAACGGAGTACCTTTTGGGAAACGGGAGCTGAACATCCCCGGAGGGTTCCCACTGCTTCGAGGCCTTGAGGAGGCTCCCGCCGCGGTGAGCAGCAAGCAAACCAGCGACGATGGCGGGGGAGGGGATCTGACGGAGGGGGCGGCGCTTTTTTTTTTGCGTTTACTTTCCCAAAACACGGGGCCAGGAGAGGGGGGAGGGGGGAGATAGTGTTTTTTTTTTGAGGGGGGCTTTCACTTTCCAAAAGCACAGGGCCGGGGCGTTCTTCATGATTTCCTTGAACAAAGTGAAACCACCCCACCAAACCGCAAAACGTCTGAATATGTGTGACGTGCCCTTCTTGATTTCCTCGAAAGACCTCCTCGAATGCCTTGAGCATGAACATACATATGAGGCTTCCATGTAACGATCATTTGAAAGGAGCAGAGTTTCAACATGTTTCGATTGCTTTTACTTTCCCTTAGCAGGGGGGCATGGATTCTTGATTGCTCGTTTTGCACCCGGCTCTGCAGGGCTCACCCACACACACACACACACTGTTGCATACCTCAAAGCGATGACGAGGTTCCCTTCTTCAGGGAGCTCGTTGGGGAAACCAAAGGACTCCCTAGACGTGTACGCGCCCTCTTGAAAGGGGGTCATTGTATCTTCAGCCGAATCATGTGCATGTGGATTCTGCTCCTTGCCGCGCAAAGCAAGGGAAAATGTTTTGTGCATTGGTCCAGCGGCAAGCATTTGCAGGAACCATATCTCCTGCAGATGTCTTATTTGCCCTTACGACATAACTATCCTACTTCTAGCCACGCTATACCTTCTATACACCTGATTCTGCACCTGCAGATGCAGCGCAGTTGCAAATGCAGGGCTGGGCAACAGAAACATACCCTAGTTCCCTTTGAAATAAAAGTGCACAGTTGCGTAAACAGCAGATGAATCCACGAGGACTAGGGTTGTCGGCCCCACTCGGACACCAAAAGGTTTGGGACTTGAAAAAAAACACAACACAACACGCCCTACAGAAGCGGCAAATTGGGCGGGGGGGGGGGGGGTTGGTCAACATGAAGCTGCCTAGGTCACCTGAAAAAAATGCAGCCAACGAAACACAGGGTATCCGCTCGCCTTCTCCTGTCCGGCAGGCACTGATAGCTTAGCCTCCCTAGACACGGCGATGAGAGCAGCGGCATGGCTAGCAGCTTCTGGAGCCGACTTCAGGGTGACCGTCGCTGTTTTTTGGGCATCCAATGCGTCCAAAGGGACTCCACCCGCGCTTGGGTTCCCCTATTTGGAGACTAGCCGAATTCTGTTGTCCACTTTCAACTCCCCCAGTTTTCACTTCAACCAAGATGGTTTCTGAGGGGTTGCTGCAGGGCTTACCAGAGATAGGAACATCCTTAGGCTGCTATCTAGGGGTTATGATTCAAGTGGGTTATGGCCCCCCCGTCCCGAAACTTGACCCAAGGTTGATTTTAATGCCGATGAATTGTCATCAGCAACACCCTCGATGTTTTTTGTCGGACCCAAACTCAATCTATGCAAGTGCAACCAAGAGTCACACGCAGATTCCGGCAGAAAGCGATGTCTTCCGGGTGGGGTCCAAACCCCTTCAGCAAAGAGACGTCGCTTGCCATGTTTGGCCGGGCACTCCAGACGCAATCCCTTTTCCTGCGCCTCAGTCGCAGGATTTGGACCCTTTGTAGTGGTTGCATGAGTTCCTGCATAAAGTTTGTGTGAAGAACATTCGTCCATGAGTTGCAAGGGCAAAGTTTGTGCTGTTTGTTGCCCAATCCCCTTAGAATGTGAGTCAGGGATCGAGGATTCGGTTAGTCCAACTGAAGCCTTTTTGGACGCAGATGTGCGTTCCGGACCGGCGCCCAAACCACCACATGGCATTATCTCATGTCCTTTACACACAAGCCCGGTAACTGGGTGGCCAGTGGTTCGTGTTTTCTGGGCGCCTCGAACAAACCTTGAGGCCTTTTCTGCATTTTGTTTGTTTAACGGAAGCCCACATGGTTGCACCATCGAAGGGTTGTCTCGCATGGAAATGGGCAAGTGCCCATGAAGTCACCAGACATCATGGGACCCGAGGGAGGGCCCGTTCTGTGTCCTAGTGCTCAGATTCGCCGAGCCCTGGCTTGGATTGGCCAACAGCCAATTGGGAAGCTGATTCAAGCGGGAGGTCTTTTTTGCCTGACATCATTTTGCTGATTCTCGCTGATTGGCTCCCAACGTGAATCCGGCTCGATTCAAGAAGCCAGCAGAAAAGCACCGCCCAGCTGGGTTGGTTGCCTTTCTAGCTGGTTTACCGGGTAGCCTAGAAATGGTTGATCAAAGGGAACATAATTTATGGCGAGCTCACCTGGTAAGACGAGTCATGGTAAAGAGCTCACCTGGTAAAACGAGCTCATTGCTTGGGGATCCAATTCTTAATTCAGGTCTTGGACATGGGTTATAAAATACATGTTTTGGCACAAGAGCTCCTCCTGCCGTTCAAACAAGCAAAACATGCAGCATGGGCTAGGTGTTCTGTACCAAGACCAACTTTCGCAAGGCGTTGGCCCGTTTTTTTCCGGAGGCCACAGAGCAGCGCCGGCCCTCCCGAATGGAGAAGGCCCGGGCTCGTGAACTGGGGCACTGGGAAGCGGTTTCCGCTCAGCTGGGGATCTGATTGAAATGATGGGTCTGGCTCACAGCTAAAGAGCTAGCTCCCCCAGTGCCAACTTTTACCCTTTCTTTTTTGGGGGGAGGGTTCCCCTACTAAAATAGACTACAGAAACAAAGGGTACCCTTATTCTAACCTCTCTACTGGAGGACCTAGAAGATCTAGGGTTACGCAGGTTTGAGTCTTTGGTTCCGCTTGGAGGCGAGAGGCCCCAGGCTCAAATCCTTGGCCTGCGCAGCTTCCAAGATAGAAGGTCACTAGTGCGGGGTGGGGGTGGGGGTGGGGGTGGGGGTGGGGTGGGGTGGGGGTGGGGTGGGCAGTTTTTGCGAAGTGCACTTTTGCAGCTCCGGCTGGGAAGTCGCAACTTTGAAGCAAGTAGCAAATGCCATACGGGCACCCATGCTCTGAGCGGTGGGCTTCTGAGGTTTCCCACAAGTGTGATTTAGGTGAACATGAAGACAAAGTAGTCCTCGTGTGCATGTGTTTGAGCAATCTTGAAGGGCATCTTATTTGCCAAGCCAAACGATGTCTGAGAGGCCTCCCATCTGCACAAACCGAATCCCTCGAAGAAAACCAACAAACACAGAAACAGAACTAAACATCAATGTCCTGAAAGACATGGTGTTGGTTTGCATCGAGGTTGTTGGTGTTTTTAGTTGTGCCATTCTCCTAGTAGACATGGCATCGGATGCGGCTAAACAAATCCCGTTGCGTTCCTTGAATTCGCGCTGTTTCTAGTGCGGTTACGGTACTTGTTGCTCTTTTTGCAGGTGTAATGATACATAACCTATATATATATATATACATGGGTTTGTCTTTTTTTGGTGTGTTGAGTTGCTTCAAAAGGCAGAAGGTGGGACCTCCCCGAATCATACCCCCGAATCATACCCCCGAATCATACCCCGAATCATACCCCCGAATCATACCCCTTAAAACGTATGCTGCAAGATGCTACTGTTCTTCTACCGTTTTGTGTTGTTCACTGTCTCCACAACAACCACCACCAGCGCTACCCAATACTACCACTGCCACTGCCACTACTACTACTACTACTACTACTACTACTACTACTACTACTACTACTACTACTACTACTTCAATTACTACTTCAATTAGTACTACTACTGCTACTACCACTACCACTACTACTACTACTACTACTACTACTGCTACTACCGCGACTACGAGTATTACTACCACTACCACCGCTACTGCTGCTTCTACTACTACTACTACTACTACTACTACTACTACTACTACTACTACTACTACTACTACTACTACTACTACTACTATTCCTGCTTCTGCTGCTGCTGCTACTACTCACTACTACCACATACATCATTCTGAGTGTGTAATCAGTGCCGTTTTGCACCTAGCCGAATCATACCCGCGAATCATACCCGAATCATACCCGGACAATGAGCTTCCCCTGCCAAGGCTAGTGCTAAGTCTTTTTCACAGCGTCCGCACCACTACAGCCGCTGCTGCTTATGCTACAGCTGCTACCACTACTTCTGCTACTACTACTACTACTACTACTACCACTACTACTGCTACTACTACTACTACTACCACAGCTTCTACGAGTTTGTAATCAGTGCCGTTTTGCACCTAGCCGAATCATACCCGCGAATCATACCCGAATCATACCCGCGCAATGAACTGGCCTTGCCAAGGCCAGCGCCAAGTCTTTTCAAAGCTTCCGCGCCACTACAGTCGCTGCTACTACTGTTACTACTACTACTACTACTACTACTACTACTACTACTACTACTACTACTACTACTATTGTTACTACTACTACTACTACTACTACTACTACTACTACTACTACTACTGCTACTGCTACTACTACTACTGATGTTACTACTACAATATTACTACTAGTACAACTACTTCTGCGAACTGCTACTACTACTACTGCTGCTGCTGCTGCTGCTTCCGCGAATCATACCCCCGAATCATACCCCGAATCATACCCGCGAATCATACCTGCGAATCATACCCCGTACTCAAACCTTCCTGCCCGGCCACCCTAAAAAAATACAAACCCTGACATATGTATATAGATATATACACACCTAGAACTTCTTTAAGAACAATTTCCCAACATTTTGTTTGAAAAGCAGACATAACGCGAATTGCTGGAAAACACGTGCATATTTACGATATGTACACACACAAAACAAACAGAAAAGTAACACGTGAATTTCGGTTCGACCTCTCCATGGCTCATGGTTGCTTGCCAGCCACTACTTGGCCCTCATCAATTCCATGGTCAATTCCAAGCCTACGAACTCTAGACCCTTTCAACCTATCGACAGTCATCAAAACTACCATGTTGAGCACCATTGCTCAGCAGATGTTCATGAGAGCCACGTACGACTGGTGCCCAGTCCGCAACTTGTTCAAGCGACACAGGCAAGTTTGAATAAAGTTTTGTTTGGGCCTTTCCGCCGATTTCCGTGCATGTTCCGCCGATTTCCGCATTTGTTTCGCCGATTTCCGCGTATTTCCCGCCGATATCCGCGTATTTTGAGTGGCCAAGTTTTAAGAGTTTGGCTCAAATCCATTGATTGCAACAATTGGGAGCAATTTCCTAGCTGAAGCTCAATGGAAACCTACATGTCCCACTCCTATTCTGGAAGGTGCCTGCATGAAAGCCCTTCGAGAAGCGCTGGTCTATGTATAAGATCAGGCTAAATCAGCAGAAATCGCAGCGAAACATGCAATTGGCAGTTTCCGCCTAGATTTCGGAAATTCCGCTCATTTGGCGAAATAAGCTAAGCAAAAACGTAACACGCGAAAAATTGTTCCTTTTTGAGGGTCCAGGTATACATATTAGTATGGTAAGGGTATATCTCTGTGATCATTTCCTAGGGAGGGACTTGCCCCGAGGACGTGCTTTTCATTTTCAAGCAGGGTTGCGCAATTTCTCCGAATCATGGTCAACACATTTGCTAGGATGTTGGATGCTTGTCGTTTGACGAGCAAAACCATTGCTAGGATTCTAAACCCAAGATAACTCAAGCTTCAAATACGCGAGCCATACACTATTGGGAGCCGAGCTGGAAATGCAACTGCTGTAACCTGAACAAGTTTTAGGCTGTAGTTTAAAACCTGAAGTTTGCTTGTTTCCCATCTTCGGACGAAACGCTAGCTTTTGCGCGGAACTTCCACCCGCTCAGGGCATTGGCCTCTCAAGCCATAGCCAACATTTGGCAAAGCCCTGGTTGATGAATGCGGTGGTCTCATTTAAGAGGGGACACAAATCACTTTAAGAGGGGATCCAATCTGCCAGGTCGAATCTGGGGTTGACAGTATGGTGAATAACCTCGAGTAACATCTGCACCTCCGCTACTTGTTTTGGTGAGGCTAAGGCACGCTGTTCAGTGGCATTTGGCGTAAGATTGTCGGTTTGCCAAATTGAGCTGTAAAAGTAGATAGCATAGCACTCAACGTATCCAAGTAGCTTTAGTCATTTTGGTACTAACCCAGATCTAAGGGAAATTGCTCCATCTCCATTGACCATGGTGAAAGTACAATTGAAACATTACATATGACTAACTACCAGAACATAGCTATTGTTTCCATGAATAAGCAAGTGTACATATGAGAGCTTTCCAAGAACCACCCAGTTACGTTTCCAGTTTCCAGAGTGTTTGTGCGTGTGGCTGGCTGGCTGGCTGGCTGGCTGGCTCGGTGCGTGGGCGCGTGGGTGTGTGGGTGCGTGCATACGTGCATGCCTGCTTGCCTCCATGCGAGCGTGCTTGTGCACGTGCATGCTCGTGTGTCTGTTTGTGTGTGTGTGTGTGTCTGTGTGTGTGTGTGTCTCTGTGTGTCTGTGTGTGTCTGTGTGTGTGTGTGTCTCTCTGTGTGTGTGTTTGTGTTTGTGTTTGTGTTTGTGTTTGTGTTTGTGTTTGCGTTTGTGTGTGCGCATGTGTGTGTGTGTGAGAGTGGATGCGTGCTGTTGTGGTTGTACTGTGGATGTTTGTGTGGGTGCGCGTGCGCCGTGTGTGTGCGCTCGCGTGCGTGCGTGTGCTATTGCGTTGGCGTGAGCGTGCGTGCCTTAGCGAAGTTCCTGTTCAACCATTGCACTTCCTTTGTGCATGTTTGTCATTTCTCAAGCAACACGAAGCACCCGCCTGGAAGAGACTCATGTTGAGAACCACCTGAATAGGTTTCGGCCCTTTTAAAGACTCGATATGGAACCCGTGTTTGACAAGCGGACCTTTTGGCCGAGGTCCGCTTGGCCCCGTCAAAGACTTCGGCAGTCGCTTGCTTTTCGACATTGACGGTAAGCAGCACATAATTAAATGGAGGGGTATTTATTTTAGGATTCGGTTTTTTGTTTTTTTGCTTTGACACTTTTTTCAATTAGATGAGCGATAACATTACGTTCAATACTAAGTTTCCTAAAATTAACACGCTGTCGAGATATGAAATGACTTAGATTTCAATACTAATGAACACGCTGAAAAAAGCTCACCACACTATTTTCTGCACAATGACTTTATGATTGTTTAAGTTGACCGTTTCTGACTCATTTCTGACTCGTATTTTTCCAGCACCCAGCCTGTCTTCCAGACCCATTCAGGCATGGCAAGAAGCACAGGCGCAGGAGGCCTTGGAGGACCCGGCACCTTGGAAGAAGACGGCGGTCCTACCTCTTCAGTGTTTAGTTGTTTTTAGTTGGTTCAGTGGTAGGGTCCGGCCAAGCGCCCTGGGTCAGTGGACCAGGTGACCATGTCCACCGGTCGGGCATTAGGTTAACCCCGGATTCATAAACCCCTGGTTGATTTTGATCGGGGGGTGTCCCCTTTTAGGGATTCAGACCACTTTTGGAGGGAACACCCCCTAACAAGGGGACGGGTTTATTAATCCTGGGTCAACATTGGTTGGCCCAGTGGTAATTAGTTTCCATTGAGCCCACTAAAAGCGATAAACTTTAGGGGATCTGAGGGCAGCTCAGTATCATCAGGGGACCCCGCAAGAGGGTTTGTTGTTTAGGGTTCTTAATAGGGAACCAAAGAGAAAACCACCATTTGGGGGAGGGGGTACTTCTCTACTTTGACACATACGCAGATGAATGGTCCGTTTGGAAATGGTTTGATCCCTTGAACCGTGAACCGAGCCACGCTGAATCCAGTTCCCTTCAAGTCAGGTTTGGTTTGTTGGGGGGTCGGGCCAAACATGGAATCGACCACCTGTTGGCTCCCAGCTTCTACCTTTCCGGTTGTTTGCAACTTGGTGCAGGCAACCCATAGCCAGGGTCACAGGACCAGCATGAGGTTTGAGGGTAATTATATTAAATAGTGATAATTCGGCATTTAGGGTTCGTAGACAGCCATAAGGATGGATTTGGAGGGAACCATGACCATGGCACAAGAGGCGGTTTGACCATACACACAATCACAGGAGGACCAGTGGCTGGCAGGCCCCTCCAGCCCCCACGAAGGCAATCGCCCGGAGCTCCATTGAGACCCCAAGAACCCAAGTGTTTTTTTTCCGGAGCTACATTGAGACCCCAAGAAGGTCTGACCTCAACAGCTCTGACGCTTAAGAAACGCGCTTCGCGGAAGCGAATCGCGCGTTTCGTGAGGCCAAAGAGAAGGATGCGCTGGGCACCACCTACAACAAGCTGGTGACCCGTGTAGAGATCGACTTCAAAGAGTCGGCGCTTTGGCCATCCAAATGTTTTCGAAAACCGACTGGGGCGGGAGTAGTTGGCGAGGTCAAGACCTGTTTGCTTGGTTTGCTTGGGATACTTTTTATGCTGGTTGGTTGGTTTTAAAAAGGAATCTATCACTACCGGATTTGTTTTCAGGGGATTTAAGTAGTTGGGGTTGGTAGGGCGGTGATGAACTGTTTAGGAAGTTCAGAACTTTTGTGTGTTCCTTTGATTGCAACCATGACTATATCCAACATATATATATATATATTTCCAAGAGGAGAAGAAAAGGAACTTCCGACAGTGTGGAATGAACTTCGCCTTTCGACTGCCAGTGCAGTTTCCCCTAGGCGGACCTGTTGAATCTATGTCAACTGCCTGCATTGCCCTTGGAGTGGATGACAGGCTTGAGGGACCAATTTGGCTCACGTGAGCGACTCAAGGGAAACAGTGAAAAGGCAACCCCGGATAAAGCGTACTGGAATGGTGAGAGCAAGGGCCTCAAAACACTAGAAAAAATACTGACAAAAATACCGAACCCCCTTCAAGGGCCTTCTTTTGGCGGCAGACCCTTTCATGGTTGTTGGGAAACATTTTACGTTTTTGCTTATTGTGGTAAAGTGGTTGAAATCCAACCACTTAACTGCATATTTGTTTCAATTGTTGCTCCCCTTCCAACGTTAACCAAGCTTATTTTTCCAATTTGCGGCAGTCAACGCTTTACGACCAGTCCGAAGCTCAGGTCGTGGACGCGGTCGTGAGCTTTCTAGTGGCCACTCGGAGTCTGAGGGATCTGGGAGATGCGGATCTGGGGAAATTCGGGCAGGAGCTCACCGATTCTTTCGGGTGAAACGTGCTCGGTCCCCAGAAGGCTTCTTTACCTAGAGGCTCCCTTATTTCCAGTTATGGAAGTATTGCAATTTGCCCAGATGCAGACTCGTGCCGCTTGATCCAGAGGATCAGACTGTGGCTGGCTTACTAACTTGAGTTGCTGGGGATGCTTGGCATGCTTGGTGGGTTAGTTCCTTGGCTTTCTCGGTCTGCTGTTTCTTTTGGAGTGCGCGAGGTGTTATTTTGCTTGCTTGCTTGATTGCTTGCTTGCTTGCTTGCTTGCTTGCTTGCTTGCTTGTTTGCTGGCTTGCTTGCTTGCTTGGTTGCTTGGTTTCTTGGTGGCTCCCAGGCATCCCCTTAGCTTTTTAGCTTTTTTTAGGGTTTACTGGGAGTTTCCACTTAACCCACTGAAAGTTAAACTTTTAGCAGGGAATCTGAGGACAGCCCAGTTTTTTTTTTGTGTGTGTGTGTGTGTGTGTTTGTTTGTTTGTTTGATTGTTTGCTTTGTTCACCGTTTTTCTTGTCTCTTCTTTGTTTCTTTGGTTTGTTGGTTGGTTTGTTGGTTGACTGGCTGGCTGGCTGGCTGGCTGGCTGGCTGCTTTGCCTTTCGGTGGTTTTGCGTCGTTTGCTTGCTTAACTGCTCGCTTACTTGATCACCTCCTTCCCTCGTGTTTGTCATTGGTGTTTGCTGTATGTTCCCTCTTTTGGTTTCTTGGCTAGCTTTTTAGCCTGCCTGCATGGCAGAACTAGCGCTTTGTCGGTTTTCAAATTGGGGTTGACACTGGGTGTCTTTGTGTCCAGCTTATTGGTTTCCGGAGTTGCTTTCTTTTCCGGTTTCCCAACACTTGGTGTCGCCTTCCGTTGTTATGTTTAGTTTGCTGTTTGTTGATGGTTGTTTGTATTTTTGTTTGTTTGTTTGTTTGTTTGTTTGTTCGTTTGTTTGTGTTTTGTTTTGTGTGTGTTTGCGTGTGTTTGTGTTTTTGTGTGTGTGTGTGTGTTTGTTGTGTTTGCTTTTGTTTGTGTTTGTGTGTGTATGTTTTTGGTTGGTTGCTTGCTTGCTTACTTGGTTGCTTGGTTGCTTGGTTGCTTGGTTGCTTGGTTGCTTGGTTGCTTGGTTGCTTGGTTGGTTGGTTGGTTGGTTGGTTGGTTGGTTGGTTGGTTTGTTGTTTTGTTGGTTGGTTGCTTGGTTGGTTAGTTGGTTGTTTTGTTGGTTGGTTGCTTGGTTGGTTGGTTGGTTGGTTGGTTGGTTGGTTGGCTGGCTATTGGTTGGTTGGTTGGTTGGTTGGTTGGTTGGTTGGTTGGTTGGTTGGTTGGTTGGTTGGTTGGTTGGTTGGTTGGTTGGTTGGTTGCGTGGTTGAGTGGTTGCGTGGTTGCTTGGTTGCTTGGTTGCCTGGTTGCTTGGTTGCTTGGTTGGTTAGTTGACTTCGTTGGTGTCTCTCTGCTAGTTTTAGGTGTTTGCTTAGCTAATCAGTGCTCCTTGATGCTTAGTTGCTTTGCATCAGACCTTGTAGGACCTGTTCAGGTTGCTGCCCGCGGGGGGGGGGGGGGGAACCCACAAGCTACTGTTGGGGTGCCAGTCTTTGATGTAAGTTAGTTTGATTGTTTGATTGCTTAGCCACCTGGTGCTGGTGGCTATGCATTGAAATGGGTGGTCCTCAAAGTAGTGGTCCTCTAAATTGGCTGGAGAAAGGGGCCAACGATGTTGATAAACATCCAAATGGGCAATGCCCTCCCAAATGGACGGTGGACAGAAATCGTTGATGTGGATATGTGTCAAATGGAGATGGACACTCAAGTGCTCGGTTCCCCGTTGTAAGACAGACCCGTATGAGCAACCGATAACATTCAATTCTTTTTTAGCCTACTTGTTCATCGCAGAGGACGCGGGGGGGCCTATCCAGTATCCCTTATTTTCTCACAAAAACTGGGAACCTAATTGAACCAGATGTAAGTAGCATTGTCTGTGGCTCATACGTGGGTAAATCACAGCCCACTAGTTCTGTGGGGTCCCGCTATTGTTGAAAGCCCACCTGTGCTATTCCCGGCAAGTCTCCCGTAAAGGGAAAACAATGTCTACCCAGCAGGGCTTACCACCAGGCTATGTTTGTGGTCGAGCTGGGGGTGTCTTTAATTGGAGTCAATCCAGGTGCTCTACAGCAGTTGGGTTTCCAATGGGGAAACCAAACCATCAGGTGTTTACCGGTAAACACAAATTCAAGGAATGCAATCAATCCAACAGGTGAACCCCCCCCTCCCCCCCGCCCTCCCCCGCCGGCTTCAGGTCCTCTAAAAAAAACATATCACTTAAAGACCAGCTGGAAACCCAAGAAACTCCCAGAGGGTCCAAGTACCTCCTGAGGATGGCTTTTGGGGGGTAAAAAGGGATCTAAGTACCTCCTTAGGTACCAAGGACCCTCTGGGCCAGGGAAACCCCAAACCCCAGAAAATCCCAGGGGTTAACCCCGGCTGGATTTCCGCCTAAAGAAAAGCTCGCTTCAGGTGCTCTACACCTTCATCCTGCTGCTGCAGACCCAATGGCGAGGCACCCAGGCCGCGGAGGTGTTGGGCTTTTTGGAGCCCGGCTCCGAGCACTGGCCCGGCGCGGCGCCTCGGCGTTTAGGTTTTGGAGGGGATCTCTGAGGTGTTTGGCTTCCCTTTTTGGCATCAGATGTTGGCTAGGGCCCCCTGTAGTGCCCTTGTCTCCCCTTTTTTGGGGGAGGGTTCCCCTACTAAAAAATACTACAGAAAAAAGTTGTTACCCTTATTCTAAGCTCTGTACTGGAGGACCTAGTTTGTTTCCCTGAAGTTCGTTTGGTGTTGCGTCTTCATCAAGCCCATATCCCATACCCCACACCCCATCTCAACCCCACCCTTCCCCACCCCCATCAACCACAACTCCACCCTCTCCCCTTTTCCCATCAGATTTTGGTTTTCCCCCCTTTGGCTTCCCCTTGTGTGATTTTCCTTTTGGTTTCATATTGAGTTGTGCAACCAAAATGTGTTGAGGTTTCACTGGGGCAACTGAGTGTTACTTCCGTTTCAAGTCCGTAAGGGTCCCAGTACCTTTAGACGTACTTTGGTTGTCCTAAAATCGGGGAATCCGCAAACTGCGTCATGTTGGTTTCCTTTTGAAAGCTACCAACAGGAGGTTTGAATAAACACAGAAAACAGGTCATGCCCTTATGTTGTTTGTTGCCATTAAAAAAACAAAACCATTTGCAAAGAAAATATCGGCGACCGTTGGTCGGTCGGGCAGCTTTCGGTGGGTCGAATTGGCTGAATCGGCGCTTCTGGACTTCAATAATTTGATTTCGATTTCCCTTCCGCAGGTCCCCTCAAAGGGCGGGGTAAAAGATCCACCTTTCGCTGATTTAGAGGATTCCTTTGTAAAGCGGAAGGTTTTTGTTCATGCATCCTTGGCCATGGAGCTCCCGGACGTATTATTTTCTGCGAATGGCATTTGCCCAGGCCCTTGGCGATTTCGCTGTGGACGTCAAAACCAATGGTATCCCATTTTGGGGTTGGTGAATTAGCCACTCATGTTCGTCTATTTTAGGGATTGGGACGTTCACGGGGGGTACGGGGTTTTGACCCATGACCATTTCTCTTCTGCCGGAGTAGCCTCCCTTGTCTTTTGGGCTAATGGCGTCACTCACTTTGGCACATAGTCAATCAGGTTACTCCTTGGTGGTTTGGATTGGTGGGAACTGGGGATTTGAAGCCTGGGTGTTTGTCACCAATTACAGGGAAGCTGTGGCAAGGTCCCAAAAGGTGGACATGTATGGCCTCAGAATCGACCTTTGTTCACATCTTGTGTTTCCATATTTTGCAGTTTTGGGCAGACTCCAAATCCGTCGAGCTCTGCGCTGAGGAGATGGCGTTTTTCATCGTGGATCATATCTTCAATGCCGCGCTCCAACTGCAGAGCCGGTTGGTATGTGGCAAATCAGGGGGACCCTCGATTTGTTGTTATGCATCGGCCTCCCTCAAAACCAACCACTGGCACCCTCAAATTCGGGTTTTTCATTGGTCTCACTTAGAAGCAACCATGGAAAGGGTACCCTCCATAGCAAACCTGACATGTGGGCGTGTCTTTGTTGAAGTGAGATTCCCGGTGGGGTGACGTGAGGCCGGGGATCTCGGAAACACTTTAACCTTTGGCTATATCACCTGGCGACCGGGTTAGTCAGAACCCCACAGCTGCACCTGGTCGATTCATTTAGCCAAAGCATTGCAAGATCGGGGAGAAAGCGACCTGGCCCCATTGTGAATGCTCGTTGTTCAGTGTTTGTAAATTATAGTAGCAATTTGGGCTTGTACTTGTTTTTGTAGTACGGCTGTGGGTGGTGGTCTTAAAAGACGCGACTGGGAGACCGGGCCCTTTTGGCCCTTTTGGGGTGCATGGCATATTTGGCGACAAACGGATTTGAGCAGATTTGGCAGGCCAATCCTAAGTGATCGGAAACCAACATCTGAAGGGAAAGACTTGGAGGGGGCAAACTTTAGGTCCTATGTTCCTCAGTTGTTCAGGGTCACCTGTTGTACCTTTGGTTTGGTGGGTCGGGACCCAGTAAGAATGGTCAACCCTAAGAGGAATAGGTTGCAATTCTTCTTTCTGGTCAGGGCAGGGGGACAGCACACATTTGCCTAGAAAATAAGACCCCTGTGCAATGTCAACTCAGATCTTTGTGCTGGAAATCGCCTGGCGGCTCTACCAGCACAAGATGCAATTCCTGTGCGACGTCTTCGGAATTTTCGACTTTGCGGTGGTGATCGCCACCAGCATCGACGTATATGTACTGACACTTGCTTTGCACGAGGATGCGGAGTCATGTTGGCCGGTTTGAGGGTGGACTCCCCATGACCCTTTCAGACATGGGGTTGTGACCCCTTTTTGGGATGTCACCTCATTTCGCAGGTGTCATGGAGACCAACAAGTGTTGGGAAAATGTGTGTTACACCAGAAAAGGCGTAGGTCCCTCCCCCTTTGGAGATATACATAGATATACCAAACTGGTCCTTAGCGAGCTCAAACCATGAAACGAGGCTTCGAAGATGAAGACGACCCCTTTCTGGGGATCCCTTTCTTCAAGTGAAACAAAAAGTGTAAGAACAAATGCAGATGTTGCTAGCTCACCTGGTAAAACCGAGCATTCATGTCCTTTGAGATTCGGCCGGCTTCAACACCACGCCCCTGAGTAATGCGCACGGTGAAAAGCTGGGACCTCGTTTGAATCTGCGTTGCATTGTGGACCAGAATTTTACTCTATGTTTGCTTGGGGAGGCAAGAGCTGAGGTAGAAATAGAATTCATTTAGGTCAAGGGAAGAATTGAGGGGTTCGTGTGTGTCACACTCTCGCGCTTTGATCTTTGATATCCATGCTTTGGAGCAGCTTGGAGCTTGGAAGGGGTGGGCAAATTCGCACGACCGATTTGACACGTAAAACCAGCTCGCCCATGAAGATCCGATGGGGGTGGGATGGGGGGGTGGGGTGGGGTGGGGTGAGAATAGTCTGAAAAAATACGACGTCACGTCGCAGACACGTCGCCCATGAAGGTTTCTTCAATGGGGATCCATGTTCGGTTTTCGCTTGGTGAATTAGACTTTGCCCAGACTAGTAATTGATTTATTTGGTAATGTATTTATTAGTTAATGCAATGTCAAGTTTCTTTTTTGTTACATTATATGTATATATGTATATATTGTTTAGTTTATTTACAAATTATTCAAGTGTATTCATTTCTCCAGATATTTCGGCTGGATCTGTCGGATTCCTTAGGCAGCCCTTTGACGCTGGCTATGCGCAGAACTTCGCCGTGGGCCGCCTGACCCGAATCTTCCGCCTCATGCGAATCTTTAGGCTCCGACGGCGCGCTTTCAATCGCGACTGCAGATTGGTTGACGCATGCGGAACGAGAAAAGTTGGTTGGGCACAAATCAACAGTTTTGGGTATGTGTCAAAAAGGAGGACCCACCAAATGGCTGCCCCGATTCACACACACACACCTATGAAACAACGGAACTGAAGCAGAGGACTCGTCTTAAAACCAGCGAGGAGGATCATCAGGTTCCGTGCGGCATCGAAAGGTCCGGACTTTGGGTTGCGTTTGGTTTGTCTCGCAATGTTGAGGCACCTTGCTTGTGTTGGATTGAAGTTCACTGGTTGGAAAGCAAGAAGCGTCGGTGTTGATGATACTTTGGTTTTCTGATGTGTGATTCTCGATCACAGAGACGGGGGGCATTCAACTTTGGTGTCGCGATTGGTGTTGCCGTTTAGAGAATCCAAGAAGAAATTCATCATGGTGCCAGCCTTTCTAGGATGGATTGCTTTTCTTTTTTCTCGCACTATAACGGTGCGTCTTGAATATCTGAAACCTCGAACAGACAAAGCGATCTTGTCCTCATGCACTCCCACGGACCCCGCTTGGACGTTGTGTCCACTTCCCCCCCCAGCATTTGAACATGGACGTTCACAGCTCCCTTTTGGAAGGCACATCTCATGTTGGAAACCGAGGGTTCCTCGGCACCTCCGGGTTTGGCGTCGGGTTTTACCTCCGACATGCGCGCGGGTGTCCGCCTCCCCGAAACTTCGAAGGGGTGGTTTGGCGTCCCTTGGTGTTCAAAAGTCACCAAAGGTCGCCAAAGGGTGGTAAAGGCATTCCCTGTGGTGTTTTTTTGACCAAAAGGATGGCTTTGGATGCAGTGTCTCCGTGACCTGAAATGTGGTTTGCTGCAACTTCCATTGAGACACGACCCAACCAGAATCTCAGAATGGAGCTTACCGAGACTCAACCAAAAACGGCGCCCGGAGACGCTGCTTCGCGCCAGGGTTTTGCGAGTGATGCGCTTCGCCAAGAACTTGCAGCAGCCGCCCGGCGCGAAGCGAAAGAAAGACCTGGGCTCCAGTGCCCTTTGCTGGTGCGATAGGTAGGGAATTTGGGTTTTTGATTCGGGAGGGATCTCCTTCAAGGAAAAAAAAGGTAAGTTGGATGGTTTAGGATCATTCCCGAAATTGCCCTGCTGAGCGCCAGCAAGTTGTTTCCCTTTGGTTATTTAGTTGGTCAAGATGGATGCGAGGCTTATCTTTGCGATGTTTGCCTCAGAACACTGGCCGGGAAGGTCAGTTGAACCTTGCCCAGAGGGTCCAAGTACCACTGAGGGTGGCTTTTTTGGGGGGTCAAAAGGTGTCTAAGTACCTCCTTAGAAGGTGCTTGGACCCTCTGGGTGAGTGGATGCTTTCCTGAACCGGCTTTCGGGTCATCCATGCTGGCCTTAGCACGCTTTTCCGCTGCAGCCACCTTTGGGCCATGAACCACCTTTGCAGCGCAAAGCCAGTTGGTGGCTAGCCATCCCCTTTGCTTGTTGGGTTCTGCCAATTAACCCACAACAAGTTAGACTGTTAGCTGGGGATCGGCAGCCTAGATCAGAAGGGATCCTCAGTTGTGGGGATACCTTTTGATGTGCATACAGGTGCTTGAGCCACTCACACTCCTCACTAACCTCCACGACCTTGGTGTGGCCTTTGGCCGTTGCCCTTCCTGGATAGACCGGTCGGAAATTGTTCGCAACCAACTACAGGGGATTGGTTTTCAACATTTTGAGAAGGACACCAAGTCCCTAGGGCAAACACTGAGGGCGAACCAAGTTGGACCGTCAGTTGAACCCCCCACAAGCTCAGGGTCCCTCTAAATGGGTGTGGGTCAAAATTAAACCACCAGGAGACCACAGGTTTTGGTCCATGTGTCCATATACCTGGATTCCATTTTGTGTACATATTTTTGACCCACAGCCATGTTTTGCCGTTCGGGCAACGCGCGTTTGGTGCCCGATTTGCTTAGGCTCCGACTGCTGGGTGATGTTTTGGCCTGAGCCTCAGAGTCTGGGCGGGCGGCTTGTTCAGAGGGGTATGGTGTGCTGCAGGTCTTACCTGTTGCCTCTGAAGTGCATGATATACCCAGAGAATCTACATCTAGGCCCATCTGAAGCAACTGCCATCCCCGGGTGGGTATGATGCCCGGATCCAGCAGGAGTTCTGCATCCAGGGCCTAGATGATTTGAATGGTTGTGTGGGGGGTACTTCAAAACCAAATTGAGTTATGATCATAAGTTATGAGATAATCATGTGTGGGAAGTGTCCGTCCCCTCCAGTCCCAGCAATCATGATGCCCTTGAGCCTCCGAGCAAGCATGGGTGTGTGTGTGTGTCAAAATTGGAGAACCTCTAAGATGTGTGGTCTCCAGTTGGTTTCCCTAAAAAACTGGTAAGCAACTCAAGCCATGGGTGTGCGCAAGCCCAGAATTCGGCATGTTCTGGACATGGACCATGCTTGAAGGCAGTCAATCGATGGGAGCCTCTCTGAAAGGGCCACTTGGGTGAGTGAAGCAACCGATGGATACGGCTGCCCTTTTGATTGACATGTGTTTAGGTGTTATGGCGTTCCAGGATTCATGCCGGATTCTGATTGCGACTCACCTCTCTTGCCCACCTGTGCATGTCCGACTTTACTCTTTATGGTTTTGGCCATGGAAGACAGACGGCCTTGTGAGGGGGAACATGTTTCCGAAGGAAGCCAATCTAGTTTAAATGTCAGCTTCTGATTCCTTTTCCCTCCGCGGATCTCTGGTGTGAAAAAAGCAAGTCCATATTTCCAACGGTTTTAGGGTCCCTCCCTCTGGCTCCCTCCCTCCTGCCCTCCCTCCTTCCCAACACGCTCGCGATTTGCCGAGTCCAAATGCCTGAGCCCGCTGATGTGGGCCTTGCTGGTTTCAGCCTCAGGAAGGTGGCGGGAAAAAAGGGTCGCCTTGAGACAAAAAACAACAAACCAAATCCAGGAGGAACAACTGGGAACCCCAAAACGGTTTTTGCTGACCTGTACTGCACCTTCTGATTTGTTTGCCAAAGCAGGAGGTTGGGGGTCGACCACAGCAGGAAGTCGTGTGGCCCAAAATTAAGTTGAAACGAACAGGGATGTGTAATTTCTTGGTTTTGGTCCAGCCCCAGGCCTTCGGTTCCATTTGTCTTTTTTGGAACCCCCGAGAGTGGCTCCCTGTCTTGGGGGCATTCCAAAGAGAACTGGATGGGCAGATGCGTTTTACGGCGAAGAAAAGGAGCACCGAGCCGCAAAACGGCAAGCTCTTTGGTGATACCCCAAGCCGTCCAGAGACTCCCTGACAGCCTGGAGTCAAGCACTGCGTCCACTGAAATTTCCTCCCGCTACTTTCGGATCTGTGGCCCTGGTCTTGTTTGTGGGCCCCCGTCTCCACTTTTGGAGGGAAGCACTAGCTTGGGCCGCAGCAACAGCACCCCCTGGACCGCTCAGGGCGTGGTTGGAAACAAGTCTGTCGCAAGGCATTACATTTTATTGTGACTACGTTGGGGAACGGGAGGGGGGATGGTGTCTTTCGCTTTGGTATAGGGTAGTTGGATCTTGGCCAGCCTAGGCCCTTGCTTCCTTTGTGATTAAATTTGATAGCATCTTACATGTTTGCGCGTTTTACATCCTGATCTCTACGCCTTTTGATAGGCAATGGTAGACAAATCCTAGGTTACACTATCGCAGACCTCCCCGTTTGAACATCGATCATCACAAAAGCTAGATCTATGGAGCTCGTGGCTCCGGTCACCTTTCCCGTTTCTTTTTTTATTCCTGGGTTGACTTCCCAAAAAATAAGTATCCAGGGGATGAATGGTACACCACACCAAGTTGGTGCTTCTTGTTTCCCATAGAAAATCCACATCCGCAGAACAGACATCCACTTTAGGCTTCCTAGATCGCCAGTTGCTGTTTTTTTTTATTCCCATGCACGTTACCCCAAAAACCAGCACCAGCGACTGAAAAAAAACAGCAACTTGGTTATTTAGGTGCTTTTTTTCTGGTTTCCTCAAATTGCTGAGGTGCTGGGTATTATCATGGTGGGCACCGGCGTGCTGATGTCGCAGCTCCTGGTGGAGTTCGTGCTGGACACTTCCCAAATCCTGGAGCACCGCGAGTGGGTCTATGCCACTCGGCTTGCAGCTGTTTGGTGGGGCTGTGTGTTTGTTGAAAGTGAGCCAGGTGCGGGGGGGGGGGGGCATCCAAACCTCAAAATACTTATCAAACCTATAGGCTCTAAGTGTCCCTTTAGGTCATTTGCGGGTGAAGACAGATTGGTTCCGCCGGTATTTTTTGTATACCAGTGCCATTTGTTTCTGCAAAATGCCCGGCCACTTGCCTCGTGGTGGGTGTGTTTGCTTGAAGTTCCGATTAGAGTTTTTGCGATAGCTGGCCTCGGCCTAGGCACACTCAAATACAGTCTGATATGGCCACGACAGGGTGATAAGATGGTCCTCTACAAGCTTGGTCAGCGCACCCTTGCTTTAAGTGGCAGTTCAATGAGTAAAGCTGCTGGAGATCATTTGCCCACTGGTCTCGTTGATGTGCAGATCTACACATACCCCTCTGTGTGTGTGTGTGTGTGTTGTGTGTGTGTGTGGGTGTGTGTGTGTGTGTGCCTGTGTCTGTGTCTGCGTCTGCGTCTGTGTCTGTGTCTGTGTCTGTGTCTGTGTCTGTGTCTGTGTCTGTGTGTTTGTGTGTCTGTGTGTCTGTGTGTCTGTGTTTTGCGTTTGTGGTTGCATCCGTGTGTGTGTTTGTTTTGTTGGGCGTGGTGCGTGCGTGTGTGCGCGTGTGTGTGTGTGTGCACATTTGTGTGGGCTTCTGAATGTCAGTGTGATTGTGATAGTGCGCGTGTTTGTGTATTTGTGTATTTGTGTATTTGTGTATTTGTGTGTGTGTGTGTGGCGGTGTCACATGTTCTTCTTCAGTGGTTTTGCGATTCGGATTTTAATGAAGATTATCTGAGATCCACGGATCTCGGAAACAAAAGACGAGACCTCTTTGCCAACTCCCCGTTTGGATGTGACATCTTTGAGATCTACTACGGGAACGCGCTGAAAGCCACGTACTCGGTCTTCGAAGCGACCTTCAGCGGTTCCTGGCCGCTGCTGGCCCGGCCCCTGATCAACGAGGTCAGCGAATGGCCTCTCAGCCGAAAGCGAAACAACGGGCGGGGGGTTTGCGGCGCGGAGCCTTGTAGGGGTCCCTATATATATATATATACATATATGTAGGTCCCCCAGTAGCCTTTTTTGGGGGAGGGTTCCCCTACTAAAATAGACTACAGAAAGAAGGGCTCCCTTATTCTATCCTCTCTACTGGAGGACCTAGATATTTTCCAAAAGGTGGATCACACTTCACTTTCTAGGCCTAGGTGAGTTTCCCTTGTTTCAAGGGGCCAGTATTTCGAAGACCACTGCTTACCATGCAACTTTGCATCGGAACTCGTGTTTGCTGTGGTTAAAACACAGGGATGGGAGGGGGCGGCAACCTGACTAGTTGGTGTTTCGATCCATTCCACAAGCCTCAAACCTTTCAGACTTGGTCTTCGCACTGGGCCGCTTAAAGCGAGCACCGGCTCAACATGGCCTATGCTGTGGCGAGCTGATTTGGGGGCTTTGGGGGCTTTGACCGAATGAACTCTCCCATGCCTCAGGATGGAACGGAGGAGGGTTCCCCTTTGAGGCGGTAGGGTGAGAAGGAGCTAGAGGGTACCAGGGACGAGGGTCAGGGACGAGGGTCAGGCCTCATCACATGGCATGCCGTGAGGGCACCGCTACCAGGCGACGCCCGGTGACGAAAACTCTTCCCCCCCGGTACAAAGAGGACTAGGGCAACCTAGAAGGGGGGGGCGGGGGGGGGGGGGGGCGGGGCGGGGGGGCGGCAATTCCCGCTGAGGGAGGACCCGAGTTTATTAGCAGCTTGGTAACACTCATAGCCGCTTTTTCAGACATCGCCTCGTTGTCCAACGTGTTAAAGCCACTTGAGTACGCCAATGCATCAAAATAGCGGTACCACCAGTTGGTTTCCAACCAGCCCAAAACAGTGGAATTACCTTCAAAAAACACACACCCACACCCACACCCACACCCACACATGTTGAAGCATCTTCTTTGCCTTCCCTCTGAAACTAGTTAACCCCCAAAAACGGGCCGCTCTCCAAAAATCATTTTGGAGCAATGTTTTCCAATGTCTACGGGTAGCTTGAGAATCCTCCAAGGTTTGGATTTGAAGTGGGTCCACTCTCAGCGCCTAGGTACGCGGTTTTCTGGATCGCCTACCAGGTGGTGCCCTGGCTCGGTGGCGAGGGCAGTCCTGCACTAGAGGTGAAACCAAGCAGCCAAAAGGGGCGCCCAGATTTTATGACCCCGAAACCGAAACCGAAACCGAAACCGGCGAGAACGGCAAGGACCGACTGCAGGAGGTGGAATATCTCCAAACTGGGACAACACAGTGCAGCAACGTATTATGTGGCGCTTGCGGGGCGGGTGATGGACATAACGAGCATCCTATTCAATGGGAAGAGTCAATGGAAAGGGACAAGGATTGACAAGGATGTCCTTCTTCTCGAAATTCGCACCGAGAGAAAAGCAATGTGGAGACGAGGATCAGTATAGCCGTTCATTTCGGGGGCCGTGTCAAAGGGGGTCTATTTGGACCTAGTGTAACCCAAGGCAACCGGAAGCAAGCCCTCCATTTGCAAGTCAATCAGCTTTAGCCCACAGCCCCGGGAAGTCAGGTCATTGGCTTTGCCGTGATGCGAGTGATCGGCGCACTGTTCCTGAATGAGACGACCCATGGCCGCAGAGTGTGTTAACGGCCAGGGATTGCTATTTTTTTGCGAGTAGGGTTCCGTCAGAAGCAACTCATGTTATGCTTCCAAGCCCAACGGGAGTGCAGGGTTCTGTAAGAGAAGTCATGGGAACCCCCGGATGACTGAAGAGGAATTAATCAACGGGCTTGGGTGTGTTCACATCAAACTTGTGTCGGCTGACGCGCAAGACAAAGGGCCCCGTAGGTGTTGAAGGAATCTTTCGCCACTGGATGTTGCTGTTGCTGTTGTTTTTTGGGAAACTTAAGCAACTGGAGGGGACGATGTTTGGTTTGGCTTCCTTGGCATCCGGAGACTATGGGAAGCTTTCTGTCGGCCCGCTTCTCGCCCGCCCCAGTTGGCCAGTAAGCATTTATTCAGGTAACCCCTAATTGGTGGTTTGGATTGGTAGTTTGGGGATTTGAACGGTAACCACCACATTTCACCACCAAACCAAGCTACCAATAAGAGGGAAGCGGGTTTATGTTTGTTTTTACTTCTCTTGGTGGATTTGCCTTTGGACATACCGACCCAGTGATGCGGCAGGCTCAGGCTTGGACGTTCCTGTTGACACTGCCCTCTACTGAGCCCTCGTATTTGTCAGAGGAAAAGACAAGGGCACAGGTGCAAAGGCTTTCTGTTCCAGCGGGGTGTCTGGACATATGACCGGTGTTTTCACGCTTGGCTCCCAGAAATATTGGGCTCGAAGTGATGACTATTAGGTTGGATCTTTGGACTTTATTTGTTTTGGTTGAGACAGGTGGGATTTCCGAATTGCACCCACAAACAGTTATGCACCTTTTTGCAGAGGGGTCGTTACAGCAACCAGCATCTGGTTTGCGAACTGGCTTTTTGGGTTGGTGTCCCCCAAGATGCAGAGGCTATGTCTATGTTGATGTCACTTGAACGGGAGGCATGGGGCAGGGATTTGCGGCTCCTTCAGGGTACCTGGCGCGCAACATGATGCATGCAATGTACGATGTAGGCTGTTGACATCTACGTCAGCCAAAGGGAAAGCCGGTAATCAGGCTTGGGTATGTGATGAATCTGTGTGTCCATACAGATGTTGTGCAGGCGGCAGTATGTTTGCTTTTTTACATGTTTGACGCGCCAGTTGCAAATTGCCCGCCCCCAATGCATGTCAAAGTAGTATGCTTACATTGCCTGTGCACGTGAAGTATTCTTTGGGGATCCGTACCACCCAAAGGAGGTGAATCTGGAGCCGGGTTCAGTCATCAACCTGGCGAAATCAGTCATCAACTTGGCGGATTTGTTGGGCCGTTGCCCCAGAAAGTTATCCGGATGCCTATGGGATGCTTCCCCGTGATTGCACCTGAAGTCTACCAGACCTTTGAAAAACATGAAGTTGTGAATACAATTGAATCTTGGGTACCTGAAGTCTCCAAGACCTGTAACGGTTTAAACCATGAAGTTGTGATGACAATTGAGTTGTTAAGGGTAGCCTCACGTGAAGGCCATGAGGCCAGTGAACTTGACGCAGACCCGAGGATTCGAGCCGCCAACTCCGACGGAGAGGCAGAGGCACGGAAGCCGCGGCTGGCGTAAAGCGCGAGCGCGGGCGCTGGAGCGGACAGTTGGAGTGTGGCTCAAGCGGACAACTTATTCTAACCTCTCCACTGGAGGACCTAGTTGCAAATTGGCATGACCACTGATTCTGTTCTTTCTTTTTTTTTGCGGGGCTTATAATGGCGTAAGCGTTCTTTCTTGCAAAGTCATACTGCAAGGTGATGAGGAAGATGAAAGAGAAGGAAGCCTTCAGTCAGAAGGTGTACCAATTCTTCACTGCTGCCGCTTTGACTGCATGTCCTGGGATGGGCGCGCTGTCTGCATAGCCTTAACATGCCAAACACATAAACAGTCCTGCTTGTGTTGGGCCCCACTATAGGACATATATGAACACTTGGTTTCTGCGTGGACGTCGTGCGAGCTCCTTGGCGTTGACCGGATCACCAGATGAGATTGTGGTTTCACACGGCGGGATTGCGATCCAAGGAATAAGGTTCCTTTCATACGGATCCTTTTCGGTTGATGTTTCTGTTTCAGCCAGAGTCAGGATGCATACCTACTGTAGGGACCCCTTTTCGATTGAGGAACCCGACTGTTTTACCTCCGGAGCTGGCTGGTTGGTTTCAAGCTGGAGAGTCTTTTGAATTGGCACGGCCGCGCAGGTCCAGTTGCCGAGAGGGAAGCCAACCATGTTCGGGGGTTGCACTCGAGAGAATCGCCCGTGGATGGTGGCTGAACCTTTTAGGAGTCCTACATTTACTTACCTCTTAAAAACACATTTTTTCAACTTTTTGGGTAACTTGGGCTATATGTCAGGGCTTGGAGTTTTAAGGGGTAAGTTTAGGACCCGAACGGGTTCAGCTCCTAGCAGCTTCTTCGTTCGCACGCGTTGAAGCCACGATCCCAGGCTTGGAGAATGTTGACCGTAGGATCCGCCTGTCGCATCTTCCTCCGCCTTTCGCAATCTCCCTCAGGTGGGTCTATTATTTTATGACGAACATCACGCCCCATGTCATAAAACCCACTGCCAGGAGTTGATTTTGTGTGGTCTGCAAGTTGCAGAAACCTCTCGCGGACTGACGAGATCCGCCGGTCTCGTCGCGCCAAGGCTGACGCCTCAGGGGACGGCCGCCTGTCCTATGAGGAGCTGGAGGCAGCGCTTCAGGACCGGAAGCCAGGGCCCCCCCCCCCTCCCAGGGCCCAGAGAGGTCCCAGAGAGCTGAGTCCGGGAGATGGGCCCCTCTAGAGATGAGCGCACCTTTCTCAAACTGGCCGTCTCCCTGAAAAAGTGGCGTTTGGAACTTATCTAACTTATCCATATGCAGCTTGTTTGCTTGGAAGATGTGTTGAGTCTCCCAGAATGTCACAGTCTGATTCAGAGCAAGGGGAGCCGCTGCAGGCTAGTGACCATGGAAGGTGCCCTGCACATGACTTTGCCGGTAGCTCTGAATGAGTATTCATCCACCTCCCACCTGGATTCAGTGGGTTTCACTCTTTTTTTTGCGGGGGTGACAAACATGGAAGTGATTAATCCACAAAAAGGATCTATTATGTTCCACCTCCCATAGATGCCCCTATGGCCAATTTGGTTTCTGGCAACCCGCTGTCCTTTTTTTGGGAATGTACACACGTGTTTCCAGGTGTCACCCGCAACAGTGATCCGGAATCCCACTTTTAGTGAAATCACACACACAGGGTCAAAATGAGCCAGAGGTTTATAAACCCTGGGGTAACGACATGACAAGTGGTTGGTGAGCATGATTCCCCAACCAAATCATGTCCACGGGCTGCCAGCCCTTAAGATTCAAAACCACGTGCTTCCTCCCCCAATTCTCTTCACCTTGTTTTTGGGGTTAGACATACCGCAAAGGGACCGAAGGTGATCCCAAGAAACGGATCGGATGCCCTAAATATTGCTATGGGAACAAATGTGGAATCCCTCTGATCGATTCTCCCATTTGCGGGTTGGTAACTAACTCGACTCCCCTCCAATGCAATTGCCCATTTGTTGTTCCCGATTTGTGGGTTGGTAACAAGGGGACATCATCTAAATGAGTTCTTCATTTGTGGGTTGCTAACAGCTGGGATCCTTCACTTCTCTTTTTGGAACCTTCACAAGTGGATCAGTTGATCAGTTTCAATGAGATCCACTAGTCAATTGATCAAGTTTTGTCCAGTGACCCCTGTACAACCTAAGAAACCCTGGAATGATTAGTTCCCCGTAAATACCCACAAATACAGTGTTTCAATCATGGTTTCAATTTGCGATCGGATTTCGCAACCATCCACAGTATTGTTGGACCCCCAACCTCTTGTTTTCAAGGGAACAACAGAACTCCAGTGACCCCCCATTCTAATTTTGTGTCCATCCACGAAATTTCGGAGAGCATCCCCATAGAATCCGAGATTCACTCCTCATCGGCTTGTTGCTTTGCGGTCTTGGTTTACTCCTTTTGGAATCTCCAAAAATGGATCAGTTTCCAATGGTAACCACTAGAGTCCATTGATGAACTTGTGATTTGTGGAATCCAGTGATCCTTGTTCAAATCCTGGACCTAAGAAACCCCGGAATGATTCATCCCCCCTGTCAATACCAACAAATATTGTGTTTCAACCATGGTACCAATCCTGCACCACCTAAGAAACCCTGGAATGATTTGATTCCCCTGTAAATACCCACAAATACAGTGTTTCAACCATAATTTCAAAGTGCGAACAGATTTTGCACCCATCCACAGTACTATTGGACCCCGGTCCAGTGACCCCCCATTCTTCTTCCGCATCCATCTGCAGAATTTTGGACAGCGCATCCACCACCGAAAGCCTGACTGTTGGTTTACTCCCTTTCTGAAACTCCATTATTTTTCTCAGTTTCAATGGCAACCAACAACTGCAGTGTTTCAATCGGTAGTTTCAACCATGTTTACACTGATTTTCTTCTTTTTACTTAAACAACAGAAAAACATCAACAAAAGGGTTCAGTTGGTTTCAATCGGTGGTTTACTTTTCTTTTTCGGTTGCGCGCCTCCGGTCGCGCGCCTCCCGACGCTTGCGCGGAGCCCGAGCCGTCGCGCGCCTCGAGCCGTTCGCCGTTCGGAAGAGGAGCCGGGGGTGGAGGCCTGGCTCAAGGCCTTGGAGCTGGAGATCCACGCGCCTTGGTGGAAAAAATCGGAGAAAAAGAAGACGAGGCGCGTTTCGGGGCGGCGTTTCGGGGGTTTCGCGGCTTGGGGGGGACGTGTTGTTTTTCTCTTTTTTTTTGTGTTTTCTCCAAAGTCCTGCAAAAGGGCAGGTTTGATGGGATGTGAAGGGAAAGCTGGTGTCGATCTGGGGTTTTGGTGGGGTTTTGGTGGTCCAAAAACGTCGGGCCCGGGTTTTTTCTGGTGTTTAGATGGTTCTCGCTGGAAACCGAAGCGGGTGTCCGTGTCTCGTTCAAAAGGTGGTTTTCCCGAATGGCGGGATACTTCTTTAGGTTCCATGTTGAGTTTGTGAGCTGCGTGTTGAGGTACCCTTTTTGGGGCCGTTACGGAGACCAATTAGGGAAACAAACGATGTGTGTTGTGTTTATGCAAAATCCTTGCCAGTGGCTACCGGGCGCCCGATGAACCTCGGGCTTCCACCGGATCAACCCAGACGTAGGTTCCAGTCAGGGTTCCATGTTTGGAGTGAGATCTTCCTACGCTGATTATTCAAAGGGATGCCTGGGCTTAAGTCCGAAGAACCCTGTGGTCAGGGAAGAGGTTTTGGGGGAAAGGGTTTGGGGGAAGAGGTATGGTTCTGTGACACTAGACTCCCTGCTGTGCAGTGGTTCCTGTTAATTTCTCTCAATTTGCTTGGTAGATTGGGGCCCAAAAACGTCCCCAAGTCTGTTTCTACTCGAGTCACTGGAGTGCTTGGAATAGACTGACAATGGATGCTCTTTTACGGATGCGGTAAGAAGGTAGCAGTCAGGGAAATATAACCCTTTTAGTGGTTTTCTCAATGGTCATCGGTCATCCCATCCATGTAAACGAGTTACACTTTGCCAACAAAAGTCATGTTGGTTCCTAATATTGGATCCAGTTTTTATGAGTGACGAGTGACTTATGGCTGTTTAGCGTTCCGTTCTGTCTGAGAGGGTTTCTTTTGGCGGAAGCCACCCATGTTTGGATAATTTTGACAAGACAACCCCCATGGTTTCCCAGCTGTCGTGCCCTTCAGGGGGGGTTTACATTGACGCCGCGCCCGTGAGGTTCATCCTCTTTGCACAAAGACTTGTGGCAAATAGGGGGGGGGTGTTTGTGCTACTTTCTGTTCCAGGGGACTCTCCTTTTCAGTGCAAAAAAATGCTCACGGAATTTCCCACAACCATGTGAACCAGAGGCGAAGGAAACGGGAAGCAGCAGATGTATGGGTGTGTCTGTTGTCGAGGGTACCCTTTTCGGAGGTGGTGTGAAAGCCCTTTTCGGAGGTGGCTTGAAAGGGAAACGAAAGGAACAAACATAAGGTCAAGAGCCAAGCATCACGACTCAGATAAGACGACAGGAAACAAAAGGTAAAGTCATAAGAAGCTACCAAAGTATTCGAACGCAATACACACGGAAACAAAGTTTCCATACAGCCAAACCTGTCTACACCGTATCAGCACAGCACGCTCAGCTGACAGAGCGGCGGAACAGAGATCCCTCGCTTGATTAAAAGAGGGGTGTCTCATTTTAGATGTAAGCCAAATCACCTTCGAGTAGGTTGAAATCCCGGTCAAAATCAGAAGGTTACTCGGACTACCTTCTCTAGCTGTCTTTCAGGGAGTATATAGCGCGGCAACCCCTTTTTTTCCACAATCCAGGGCAAATGAACAAATCGAACGTAAGCAGGGCCCCCTTAAAGGATACGTTGAGCCAGTTAGGCAAAAAATTCTCTTACCAGCTGATTTGAAGGATCCTCAAGCCTTTCAGGAAGCCTCGCGCGCACTCAGGAGGCGTACACTCTGTTCAATCTGCTGGACGACGATAGCGACGGTGAAGTCTCCTATGTCGCTCGCTGTTTTATGAAGTGGAACGGGGCCGCGGGGGCGGGGGCGGGGGCGCTTTGGGTGGGCTTAAGCAACGACCCGTGGGGCAGCTTAAAGTGATGTGTTGGTTGGCCGGGTGATGTCTAAAGAAGAAATATGAGAGGCGGGAAAAATGACAGTTTTGGGAAAATTGCAAGAGCGGGTTTAAAGGTATGTCCAAAGATCGGGGCAATCCAAAACTGGCAAACTGGCACCTGCTTTTGATTCCGGGGGTTGATGAATGCCCTTTGCATGGTGACCCAAAGGGACACCACCCACAAAATGACTTTTAACCACATGGGAAGAGCTGCTCATGGGTCGTTTTGGGGGGAAGATTGATCAACCCACACATCCAGATTGCAGCATTATTCAATCTGGACGCATTATAAAGGGATATGTCCTCAATTGTTGATTTGGAATTCATGGAACAAATGAACAGAGGTCAGGTCGCGAGTCTCCGCTCCAGATCCATCAACTCAGTCAAGTGCTCCCGAATCGATTTGAACCTTTGGTCCGGGCATCGGACTTTTGACACGGACTGGTCAGGATCCGTCAAGCTGCAGACAGATGGGTTTTTGGCCGGCTGGATGTTTTGTTTTTTGGATAGGTTTCAGCTGGTCCCGCATGGTTTTTGGGGTTTAGGCCCGGCCCACCCCCCTTTCCCTGAAGATTGAGCTAGCCGAATCCTTTGAACCACCAATCCAAAGCAAGGGAAAGCTGAAGATGGGGATCTGGGCCACTGTTTGCTGAGGGTGTCTACTTGGAGATAGTGAGGCTTAGGTAAACTGCTGGTGCTCGCTTTGGCATCCTTAGTGCAACAACAAGTCTTGGGACCCGACTGGGACAAACATTTGTGAGTTCCCTCCTTTGGCCAAGCCTTCATAAATCCAGGGCTTCCACAAGACATCGGGAACCGCCATCTTGCTTGCCTCAGCCACCACGCCTTGGCGTGCAAAACATGTTTTTTGTGGTTTTTTGTTTTTCCCGGACGCGCCGTTTCCGAGTGTCACACACTCTCAACCCGCCATTCGTCATTCAAGTTCATCATTGCAAGAAGAAGTTTGCATCTCTTCTCTCCAGCTTTGCTGTAGAAGCCACCACACCCATCCAAGTGGTTCGCATTTGGGGAGACTCAACTCATTCACTCCCGCCCCTGTTTCTTTTGTGGGTACCTGGGATTCCTTTGGTTTTCCGCTGAGTTTGCCATGGGTAAACCCCGCGGGTGACATTTTGACACGTCAGATGGCCCGAGGAAGAGTTCCTGCACAGCGCGCTGCGGCTCAAGGGCAATGCGCGAGCCATCGACTCCATTATGATTATGCACGAGCAGCTGCTCGGCTTTTTCGGGCTGGGCAAAACTGGTTGAAACAAGCAGACACCGGCACCGTTTTGCGGGAAAGTGGGAGATTGTGTGAGCAAGCTGGCTTGACTGGTTTTGTGCCAAGATAGGGATTTGGAGCCAAAATTGGTGGTTTTGCTTTGGTATCTCTTCAGACCAGCCCCAAAAGGTGAACCCTGGACATCACGCTGCCAGAGCTTGGCCGCTCCGGGTGTCTGATTTCTTTTTGGGTGACGTCTCCGAGTGACTGCGGGAAGGTACTCCCAAGGTACTCATTTTGGACCAATGTTCAAAGAGCCTGTTATGTTGTTGGGCGCGAGGGTAAGAATGGGGCATAGAACAAACAATATTCGACGAGTGTCCAACTGGTGAGCGTTTCGCATTTGGGATATTGGGGACCCTGCGGTTTCACAATTGGTTTCCCCAAAATACTCACGCTCGGTGCGTTCAATTGCCTAAGCAATCTGCTTCCTAGTGCCTGGAAGGGCGACATCCTCGAAAGATTACTTTAAGGGCCCCGGCGCCGCCCCAAAGCTTGGTATGGACCCTTCGAAGCCAACCAAGCGATGACATGGTGAAGTCTCTAAAGGGAACTTAGGCAGCAAACAAGCGACCTACTCTTTTGCTGACTTGAAGCAGGAAGCAGTGCAAAGTCGTCTTGAGCCAAATGCTGAGTTTGCTTGAGCGATGAAAGAGAATAGGGAGGCAACACAATTAGGAAGTTTAACCTTTCTTGCCGCCAGTCATAAAAGTGGAAGTATGGGGCCTTTGCAGCAGGATGTTGGAAGGGTTTGCTAGGCACAAAATTGGAACTCCTGCGAAGGACACAGTTCGAGTCCACTTGCTTTTCAAGTGCACAACAAGAAGTTGTGTTTTCTCATTGAAAACGAACAAAGGGCATAAACAGCACCACTTGGAACGGTGGGTTGTCTCCAAATCAGTTGTGAGATAGCTCAAGGGAAAACAACGAGAGAAGCAACCGCCATGTTGAAAAAGCAACCGAGATTGGTTTGCCGCCAAATGACAATGGAATCCACAACTTAGCATATGTCCGTTGAACGACAATTTCAGAAGGGGTTGCCTCAAAATGGGGGGACCCCAAAAATGAACTTGGGTGTTTCGATCTCCCCAAAAACAGGGGCCCAATTGAAAAGAAGTTCCCTAAAGTGGCTCCCTGCAAAGGGGTTCCCTAAAAGAAGAGGTTCCCCCAAAACCTCTTCAAACCACACATTTTGGGGTCACCCCCAAAAAAAGCTCAAATTTATCGTGAAAAAATGACGCTCGCAAACTCAGGGTCAAGATGAACGACCAGCTGAAGCGCATCTCCGACATTGTGAACGAGTCCTGTGTGGAGGCGCAGCAGATCCGCGAACGGATCCGCCCCTCGGATGGGCTGAGCGGAGGGGAGGGTAGGCAGCGTGCCATGGAGAGTGGTGGGATCTGCAAAAACCTCGCGGGTCCCTCGCGATTCTTTCTTGAAGAAACGTGAAGAAACATGGGAAACATGGGGGAAACATGGGGGGTGGGGGTGGGGGGGGGGGGGGTAAGGCCTTGGCCTTCTTTGGGTTCCAGTTGGTTGACCAAACTAGGTTGTGATTTTCTGGAGGGCACTCGTTCTCGGGAAGCCAGAGGGGCACATTTCCATTTTGTTGGCTTCTCTGCCAGCACAGAGGGTCTTCCTGCCTGGTTTCTTTGTCGTACCGTCCCACTATGGCACGGGTACCTGGAGTCTCCAGATCCGATGCTCGAGATGAGGAACCAACCTGCCGCCAGATCAGAGGACTCAGACCAAGTCGACGCCGGCGGTGCGCGGGCCTCAGCTTCAGAGAATCCTCCCCCAACCCCCGACCCCCGACTCCCCGCCCGGAGGGGGTTCCGCCGGAAAGAAAGAGGTGGAATTTTGAGGACTTTAGGTCCGCAGGGTCCGACCGCTCTGACCTTTTCTCCCAAATAGACCTTGTTCAGCGCAGAACCAGTGGGCCCCCAGTGCAGAGACTCCCTACCCCCACGCCTTCAGGGGGGATTAAGCCTTCCAGCTTCCACTAGTGTGAGACCAGCGGCCAAGAAATCGGCCCCATGAAAATGCACAGAACCCTAGAAAGGTCTTCGAATGAAAAGGCGGTGCACTTAACGTTTATGGGCTTCCAGTGCAGCCGAGACCCGTCACGGCGTTGGGCGCTGTTTTTGTTTGTGTGTGTGTGTGGACGCAGTCAAGGCGGAGTTGTGTGCACAGCCTATGCGATTTGGCCTTGGGAGAAGTTTCCTTGAAGGTGGTTCCCTCAAAACCCCTGTTGGTTTTAGTTTGGGAACTAGTGACCACTGGCAAACTATTTGTTCTCCTGCATCGATTAGGATGCAATCAAAGGATGGTGTCCTAAAGTTGAGCTGCGTCTGGTATCGACCTTCGCTTGGCAGGCTGCTTGCTTGTTGTTGAGTTGATTCGTACACATATTAAACTGCATCATATGGCAATGGTATGTCATCGTGTCTTTCTTTAGGTACAGGAACATATTAATTCATATGTTGCACAGTGGTTTTTTGTTTTCTCGCGTCAAGGGTTCGCGGCCGTTGTCGAATTGACCTCCATTTAGTCGGCTGTGTGGATGCCGCTTTGTAACATTTGTTCGGTTGAAACCAACCAGGTAATACACCTCCACTAAACATGTTTATTATGTATCTATTTTGAAAAGAAAAAAACAAACGCTAGCAAATCGCTAAGGTGAACTGATTTATTTATGCGGTCTTGTTATGTTCAATCAACCAGACAGAACACTGCATGGTGAATATGTGCAAAACCCGTTCCACAGCCCTTGCCGTCCACCCTCGCTAAAACAGAATGGTCAAAGGGCGAGCCCAGCTTCGTGATCTTTTGACTCCTCCAAGACCAAGCTGTTGATTGTAGCACTCGTTTGTTGGTGGCTGGAAGGCAGGAACCCCGAGTTCAAAATTTCGAAGTCTAGATAATGGAGTTGTTATTTGTGATGTTTAACGTTTGTAATTATATGGTTCATGGTATGAATTCGAATAACTTGTTAAATTGCAAGTTGTTATGTGTAACATTGAACTAAACTTTAGTCAATATATAAATTGAATGCAGACACATGTTGGCTAAATATATTTATTGATTAATATGTATATACATATCATTATAGGTAATTAGTTGGTTTGGGTTTAGACATTCTTATATAGAAATTATGGCATTCACATCAATATCAAATAGAATTGGAAGCTCCGATGCGGACTTAAACCAAAACTCAAATTAATAGCATATTACAATAACACCAACACGGGGTCTCTAGATTTCCCCGTTTTAGTTTGACACATCACCTTTTTTGCTCACTTTTGAAGTGAGCTTCCTTTTTGTGGGAGTAGTATTCAAAGGGACATTTGGGGAAACACGCCTCCAAAAAGAAGCAAATCAAATTGTTGTGTGTGGCCATTCTGTGTATTACCCTTCACCCGAAAACATGAACATGCAAAACAAACGGCCAACAACAAGAACACCTACTATGAAAGACAAAAGACAGTTTCTGGACAACAGTTTCCCAAGGCTTGATCCACCACATCTACATGCAAATGGGGAACATCGTCTCTCCAGCGATCGCGGCTCCGGTGAGCATAGGCTGGGGTAGAACAACTTTGCTGAACATGGGACCCACAGTTCTGAGCTTCTTTTTTTCTTCCGAAGGTACCCCCTTTTTGGTGATTTAAACATGGGAAAGGGAACTCCGAATCCATTTCGTTTCGGGGGGGGGGGTCCAACCTTACAAAAGACTCACTCATGTTGAGTTCTCAAACTTTTGTTGAATGGTGTTCTGCCACCAGTTCCTTGAAGCGAGTGCATGAGGGGTTGTCAAAACGAGTTTGGGTTTCCATTCAAACCGCCGCTTGCTTTTGTTGGAAGGGGCCCAATCAAACCCCAGAGGGGGCGCGGGGGCAGGGTCCTACATGTCAACCTGGGCTGTTCAATCCCTTGAAATGGGCGCTCCATGTTCGGCTGCTTCCTCTCGGGAGCTTCTGGCGGGGTCAGCAGGGATGAACCTGTAACTTTGTACTGGAACCGCTCCAATTCCTGCACGTTGAATTTCTGGAAGACTGGTGAGAGTGTGGCGACATGTGTTTTGTCCTTAGCCAAACGATGTTTTTTGTTTTTTAGGTTTTTGTTTTTTTCTTCGAACACGCAAATGGTTGGAACATGGTTGAACCCCAAAAAAAGAAACGCGTGGAGCACCGTGGAGCTTGGGCACACACCCTGGGCCGATTCCTCGCGAGGCGCAGCGCCGGCTTCGCGGAGCTCTTCCTGCCCCCGGAGGTAAGGAAAGCGCGGCTCGCGCGCAGGGCCTCGGAGTCCGCCGCGCGCGGCGCCCCCGTGGATTGAGCGAGGTGAAGAGCGGCGGCGACCGCTGAAGGAGCGGCGGCGGCGTATGAAAAAAAAAAAAACGGAACGAGGAAATGTCTAGGGGTACCTTCCATTTCCATTCTGAACCCAGCGAATCTTTTCAGGAAACCATCAAAAGCCCAGGGGAGACAGCCGGTTTTTGAACAGAACGATGGTTGAATAGAATGGGGAGTCAACCTCGAAAGTGAAGTTGTAGGAACCACCAGCCAGTGAAATGTTCCGTTCCTTTATTCTTCATGGATCTATTTGGGAAGGGATCAATTTGAACTTCAACTTGTTGGTCGAAACAGCTGGGATTTTCCGAATTGGACCCACAAAGCAAACTGTTTGCAGAGGGTCAGCAGCCAAGACTCGGGGGAGGTTGCGTCTAGAGTCAGGGAGTGAGGCGCTTCTTTCACGGTGAAGGTATTTCGAAAAAAAGGTGTGATGAGTCCTTCTTCGGCTATAGTTATTTTGGTCATTTCTTCAAGCTGGCCGTTAAACGACCGGATCGAATCGCTCCGGATTTTCCAGCGAAGAGTCAAGGTCTCAAGAGACGGTCCCGTCGAGCAGCCGAGGCTACGGGCATGGACTCTAGAAGCTTAGCCCAGGAGTCATTCACCGAGCTGGATTTGGATGGGACACTCCCACGCCAGAGGGGATGCTATTCATTTTTGGGTTCGAAACCTTTTCTGGACGCAGACGAAATGAAATTGGTAGTGTATTGCAGTGACCCCTTTCTTGGTTGCTCTTGAACCGTTCAACCTTTCCCCTGTACGCCCTGTAACCCTGAGCTTCTGACCTTTTGGGGCGAGAGACGGATGTTTGTCTCTAAATGAAGGGGCCCCCGCCCGGTTTCCCTTTGAAGTTCACTTTCTAAGCCGCCCTCAAAGGGGTAGCAACTGAAAAACATAATACCTTAACACACACACACAGAATTCTGCTCTGGACATGTTCACCGATCAGCTGCACCTTGCTCAAGGGACGCGTGAAAGACACCGAAGACGCGCGGAACACGCGCGGGAAAAAAAAAGGACGCAGTCACGCCATGGACAGGACCGATTTGTTGCTGGCGAGAGGCCTCATTTCGAGCGGACCAGCGCCTTTTAAGGAAAACAACAGGGCGATGCCCAACAGTTGTTGAGTCTATTTCTAAAGAACACAGGGCCATGGGTATGTTTTCCAGATGCCCGTTTTTAAACCGGCAGTTGGCCGAACTTGCAATAGTTTGACCAGTGGGAACGCGCTACTCACAACTCCCCAGAAATCCGCAGGAGTTCCTCTTGGGCCCTGTCAGTTTTGCCGAAGGTCGCTCCTGTTGCAACTGATCGTGTCTGTTTGTGGCGACAACATGTCTTTGACCAAGAGGGACGCTTGTTGGAACTAACCACGTACACCTCAGAACATGTGCTTGACCTGCGGAGACTTTGTGTGAAACAGAAACAAATCAATGAAAGGCTGTCAGAACTTCGTAGAGCCTTTGCGCGGGCTAGGTTTCTGCATATCCGTTGACTCATAAACTAGGGGTCCGTATCAGCGGTTCATATATGGGCATAGACATTCAGCCTTTGAGTTAGTAACATCCGACCAATGGGTGTCTTTGAGAGGGAGTAAGCAGCTCGCTGCTTACCGGAGCCATGTCATGTGTGTGAAGTAAACACCGCACACACACCATGTATGGAAGATGCCCGCACCACAATTCGAGGAATGGCTTGCCAGCCGCAAAAACATATCCTAAGTTCTGATTGTGACCCTTCCCGTCACACAGTACTGGGAGGTGTATCAGGTGTCATTCATGTTATATCTACATTGTATATATATATATTATGAATAAATTGCATTACTTTGCTTTAGTTTTCTTTACTTTACTTTTACTTTACTTACATACATACATATCTATAGGCCAATTCTGCACCTGAGTCTGTGGCGTGAGTCTATGTCGAGCGGGAGCTTTCTTGACAAGCTGTGGCGGAGCAAGGGACTTGCAATCAAATTGACACTTTGTAGCTGGATGGGAATCAACCAAGCCCCAGTACCCGTTTTCACCTGGTTTTTGGCGGTTTCCCCAAGAATGGTTATCCCCACAAAAGGGGTGACTTGTTTCTATCAGACCGCAAAAACAAAGGAGTTTTACCCGATGTTCCCGTGTTCTCTTGGGGAACAAGTGTCTTTGTCGCGGCCTCCCTTCGCCAACAAATGAGTTTACCTTTTGATGGCCTCAGCTAGCCCTATTGCAAAATAGCAAAACAAAGGGCCCAAAGCGTGGAAATCCTTTTCGAGGACTTCCTGTTTCCAGAAAAGGTGTCGAAAGAGAACCGCAGTCAACAACAAGGCGCCCGTTTGCAGACTCGGTCTGGGTTGCTGGAGGCATGGGTGAAGATTGTAAACGTGATCCAGCATTCGTTAAACACTGAGTCAGAGAGAGGGTGTCCGATCTTTTGGTGTTGTGCTTGTGTGTGTGTTCTGGCTGTCTTTCCTTGAGCAGATGAGGGGATGGTTATTTGCCCCACAAACCCATGAGCAAATTAGCTTGAACGTTTCCAACCAACCATGTGTGCACGTGCGACCTCCGGCCAAAGGATGAAGCCACCTGTGACTGTACATCACACCAAGCTTGGCACAAAGCTCCCCCCGGCGCTTCTCCGAACTCGCAGTAGATTTGTTTCTCCGAGAGATACCACCGAAGTCCTCTTCCCGACTCTGCAAAGCAGAGATCGGAAGGTTTCGCCCTCAATATTCCATATTCCCGGGCTTCCACCGGAAAGCTCCATGTCGATTCGGGCCCGCAGTCTGGAAATCCAAAATGGCTCTTGATTTGGGGAGAGGGAAGTACCCGGCAAGGCGCAGCATACAACCCCGGAGTGCACCCAGAAAAGGGAATCTCCCAGGGATGCCGATGAGAGGGTTTCCGCTCGTTTTTCAGTGTTTCCGTTCAGTATGAAAACGTAGATTGAAGTACAGGAGCAGCTCACAATTGGATAGGGAAGGGCTTGGGAGGACAACCCACGTTCCCCAACAAAACACCCCAGTTGTCCCATCCCAAGGGGAAAAAGCAAATTATTCGTGGCTCAGAGGTGCAAGTGAGTTCCCGCGTCCCCCGAAACCAAACGTAGCTTTTGGAGGACGGGAAGACTACGACGAGCAGTGGGGGTCCAAAAAAGAGCTCATTTCTTTGTGTAAAATTGGGCTTTGTCTCCAAATGAACAAAACCCGAATTGTGCGGATGTTTGATTTCCTCCTGAAGCTGAACACACCACCATTTGTCAAGGGGGCGTGGGCTTCCGCAAGAACCAGTTGAGCCACAGCTTTGCTTGCCGGTGGAACGGTTCGGAATCGAAGATACGCCGTCCAGTTAAGGGCCGGAAGCTGTGAGTATCCACAGCTCCTGCAAGAGATCTGGGGAGGAAAGGGTTGCTTCAACCATGTTTGCGAGGTCACGTCTAAAAGATAGGTGATGCTTGTGTGTTTGTTTGTTTGTTTCTTTGTTTTTTTGCGTGGGGGCGGGAGGGGCTCCACTTTCTCATTGTGAGATTCCCCAAGGTTGGTTGTGCGTTGACTGGGAACTGACCATTCCACCAAAGAATAGTGGAATGCTTCTTGGGGGGTCTGCTGAACCAACCAACGAAGCTTTTGTTCAACTCCCTGCCGAAGTGAGAGAAGAGATTCAGATCCCATCCCCTTGGGATCCCTTAGATAGCCCTTGTCTTTGAAAGAAGCTTCGTTGCCCCTTGGGCGGTTCTCCTTATGTCTCGTGTCGTTGATCAATCCCTTTTCGTAAGGCCCTCAATTCCAGCCCTTCCTCACGTTCGGGAAGGCTTGCTTTCGGCAGCAACGGGATAGGGTGTGCGTGTTTTTCTTGAGTTGCTGAGTTGGGGGCAACGATTCCCGTCGGATCTCCAGACCCAGATCTCCAACTCGCCGACAAGTTGAATGCGTTTCACGGCCAGAGAGATATCACCTGCCGGGGGCACTTCTATAAAGCACAGAACGTTTGAGGGGCTGTATGAGCTCTGTGATAGGCCTATGTCTTTTAGGGCCTCCAGTTTTTTGAAGCAGACAACAACTGACTAGGCCTATTTAGGCCTATGTTTTTTGGGCCACCCATTTTTTGCAGAAGACAAAGGCTGACACCGAAATTCTGACAGTTGGGTGCAGTGCAACCCCCACAAAACCGCCACGCTGGTCGGTCAAGTTTGGGGTTCTGATTGATCTCCGCGGCAGCGCAACCGCTGAAACCCAGTTGCGGCATCGAAGCAAACGGCCAGCCAGGGCGAGGGGCGGCTCCGGGTTAGGTTGGCTCGAGGGAAAAGGGCAGCCACCAATTTGGAGGTTTTTATTTGACCCGATCTTTCTGGCTTGGTGTGCCTGCAACATGTTCTATGCAGATGCCAGGTTTCGATTGAGGCTGTTCATTTCCCCATACTGGCGCTGGGGGCCTTATGAGTGTGGAATGCCCCCGAAGAAAACCATCCATCCATCCGGGCTTACGCAGGTTTTGCTCCATGTTTCCACTTCCCAGGGCCACCCTTTTTTCGGCTCCGGGCTTTTTTGGAGGCCTATTGAATATTATATTTGGCTGTAGTTTTATTATATATATTTAAATATATAAAACTATATCCAAATTGAATATTAAATGGTCAAAACAATTTTTAATATAAATTTCATATATTTTTATATATCTAAATTATAGCCAAATTTAAATATTAAATTTTCAGAATTCTATTAAATATTAAATCATTTGTGCGCCACCCAAAACTCGGTGCATTTCCAACCCACGGACTCAGTCCAGCGCGAAAGGCTCCGGGGGTCGGCATCAAGGAGGCCGTGATTAGCAACGCCTGGATGGCGGATGGCCCGAAGCCCCGAAGAGATGAGATGGCCGCAGGTCATGTGGCGATGCCAAGGGCAAGGTCGTGTAAGGGGCGATGTAAGGGGTATAAAAATGGCCTGGACAGGGGGTAGAACTGTACACGTGTATAGAGATATAGATATAGATATATGTGTGTGTGTACGTATGTATGATATATGCATGTATGTATAGTAGATGTATATATGTATATGTGTATGTATAGATATAAGTATATCAGGGTATATACGCTGTATATAAGAGGGGTTGTACAGGTGGCTGGCCTTGTGTGGTGGTCGAATTTGTTGAGGGGCACCTCTTTTGGGTGGTAAGGGGAAGTCAAACGACAAGCCGCCCATTTTGTGTCGTTTTGTTATTTTTCCCCGACAGCTGAAAGCTATGGGGTCGATAGGCCAAATAAGCATCGGGGTGGTTTGGGCCAGCGTTCAGGGAGGGTTCCGGAGATTCGGTTGCAGGGGGTCCCACCTGGGCTGTTGGGGATACCACATCAGGGCTGTCTTTGTTTGGTTTCCCTTTAAACCCACCTATCCATGCGGTGCTTGTTGTTGTTTTGTTTTGGGAAGGGGGGTGGGTGGGAGCTAGCGTTGACACACACACAAGCAACCCAGGACCATTAGGAGGACTCCTTTCAGCCACCGATTGATTTTCCGGCGGGTTCCAGGTTAATTGGTGTGAGGGACCCTTTTGGGGGTTGGCTTGAAGGGAAAACCCACCAAGACAAACGGCATCTTGAGAGTTCACACACTCACCAGGGTTTTCGCCACATGGAAATCCGGGTTCTCACAACTCAATGTGTAACCCTTCCCAAGGTTCGATCGGAGCAGACCCTGGGGAAGGCCTTTAGTTTTCCTCCTCCGAGTTCTTCCAGGAGTGTTTGAGCGGAACTTTGTACCCCACCTATTGTAGGGGGTGGGGAAATCGAAGTCTGGCGTGCGTCAGCACACCAATTTCTTGCCACACTTTGGAGTGCAGCACTGACAATAATTAGCTTTCTGGTGCTCAGTAGGGAATGTGAGAATGAATCCAGGGATTCCCCAGGAGCCTTTGGACATGCTTTCTCCTTGCGCAATCTTCCGTCAAAGAAGGAGGGGAAGTCAGCAGAATAGCGTTGAGATGATGTCTCTTTCTATCGCATGAGCGATGCTCACATTGATTGATTGACGGTACATGGCAGTGTTTGAGAGCTTTTCAAGAGAGAGAATACGAAAGCATGTGTCATTCCTTTCCTCGCGTGAGCCTTGCTCTTTGTTCTAGCTTTAAAGCACACATGAGAGATATATTTGCGTTCCTGATTTCAAGACCCATCCCATGGCTGCCTTTGAGGCAAGATAGAGGTTGGCGAGGCTCCGAGCGGAAGCAATCGCTCCGCTCGTTCGACTTGCAAGGGAATAAGGCAGATAGGCAGGCCCCCTGAACCTTGTGACCCCCGTTTGTTCGAAATTGAGCATTTGTTTCCCCATGTGAAGGCTCCTTTTTGACCCACGAGGGGGTTTAGGTTGGGTAAATTCCCTTGAGTAATGGCCCTTTGTGATGAGCTTAAAGTACTCTGCCTTTTGGCAACTGGTCGTGTTTTTTAAACGCGACCTAGGGAAACTTCCTGCAAGATATGAGTTTCTCAAGTTGGCGGACCCCTGTTTAGTTGGTATTTGAAGGCAAACCAAAAGGACAGCAACCATTGTAAAATTTGGGCGTAGCCCATTTGAACTGGTCTTGGCTACTCCAGGTGCTTGATTCTTGGACAAAGCACATCTTGAAGGGGACGGCCAGCGCCTGTTTCGGCTGCCAACGACTCAGAGGCTATTTCGGCTGTTGGAACCTCTGTTCTATTTTGGACACTACCAGTATCCTTTCCTTCCGGCGCAGGTTGTTCTATGCTAAGATGGGGGCAGAGGAGTGGGACAAGACCCACTTCCTGCTTCCCCTTCCCTTCATGCCTGCTTCTTCTCTTTCATCACCCGAAACGTTTTGTAGAGCCGTGGAAATTCAGGACATGCTGTGGTCACACCCGGAAAAGCTAGGTCTTCAACCCCTCATGGCGGTTTAGCCAACCAAGTTGAGGGGGCCATGACCACGACCCTCGCGAGGATGTTTCCTCCAAGGTTTGAAAGCCTTCGGACGAGTGAGTGAGTCTGGAGTGCCTTTCGAGAAATGTCATGGAACAACACAAACCTCATCCTGGAGTTGTCCAGCCGTATGCTTGGCTTTCTAGACGTTTAAGATGCGCACAACTCAACCTTGTAGCGGGCGACCATGGTCGCCCGCTACAAGGTTGAGCTTTTGCAAGGGCACAAGCCAGAAAGGACTTGGTCCCTACAAGAACAAGAATCAAGGACCGGAGTCCACAGCTGGTCAACCCAGTTTTAGCATGTTTTAACCTTGAAGCTGCCACCCTCAGGCTATTCTCATCTTTCAGCAAAACAAAGAAGCCTTCAGTTTGGGGAAAGTTTGGTGCAACTGAAAGCACGGTGCTACACAGCTTCCCTTGGGGGGGGTGCTACATGGTTCCCTTGGGGACACGATCCCAGGCAGTTTGAGCTTTTCTTTCGGTGCTTCTTTTTTGTGGCGGTCCTTCTGGTGCATCCATCCGTGGCTAGGTGGTCATCGCAACCATCCCTGCGAGCCAGGAGCTGCCAGCAACCCGGCGGCAATACCTTTGTTCAAAGTAAGGTTTGATCAGTAGTCCCTTAAAGGCCCCCAGTTTCGACTACAAATACACTTTGCCATTTAGTGACACATATCGTATTTTTCGTGGTGTTCCGCAATGGTCATCCGATGCAGTGGACCTTTTGATCACTCTGGTCATCCCTTTATTGGTCTACTCTCTTCCTGCGTTCCTGGATGTGTAACTTTTTGGCAGGACCATTCTAGTGGTATACAAACAAGTTGGACTTTTTGTGGCCCATCAACTCCTTCGGGAAGACGTTTGTCTACTTGTTTGGTCCATAGATCCGATTGCTGAGGATCGATCGGAATCCGATCGCTCACTGGCATTCTAAGAAATCAAGGTCCTTGGGTCCTTAGTGGAAAAACTCGGTATGTGGCAATGGATTTTAGGGAGCCCAACCTCAAAAAAGCGGGGGACACAAATCCCCACCTAAATCATGTCCAGAGGGTTTTTGGTTCAGCTTGCTGTGTTTCCACCCCCTCAATGGAAAGACACCACAAAAAAAATAAAGCATTGTTTAGCAACCCCGCTCCAGCAGGCCCGCATATTTGCTCAAGTCTTTATACTCAGACCATTTGGGCGTGTCGTGAGATATGGGGACCCCTATTACCCCCCCATTTTAGGTGGTTTTCCTTTTCGGTGTCCCTTTCAAGCAACCCAAGAAGCGTACGTGCCAACTCTAAGAAAGACACACCCATTTCAGTGGCTAAGCTTGGACTTTTTGGGCCAGGCGCTCTGCAAGTGAGACTGGTCGTTCTGCTCAAATGCTGGTCTCGTTTCTTCTTGTTTGGTTTCCCCGATAAGAGGCAAACGAAATGAAGGCACAGCACCCTACCAGGGGCATATGTTGGTTGCTACCCGCTCATATCAACCAAGTTAGTAGCAACTACAACATCTGAGTTTGTCACTAGCGGTTTCGATGGCACAGACCTGGGAGGCATGAGGTGTTGTTCGCGACCTGGTGAATGATCCTGAGGATGGGTGTCGGATCGCTTCCAAGAATACCACATGATTCAACACGGAAGACACATGGACTATCTGATTGATGTTGGCCCCGGACTCATACCACTTGTGGATAGGGAATTGTTGGCTCAAGAAGAAAAGGATGGGGTTGCCACCCCATGAATCAACCAGGGCTTCATTTATCCACGGTTTTTATCCCTCCCCTTCTCTTGACACATGGCCAACACCTTTAGCTTTCAATTTTGCCCCTGGGTCAAAAAAGCAGAGAAGGCATGGGTGTTTGCAAAACAGTGTAAAACAGTGTATTTTGGCCCGGAGCAATCAACCGTTTGAACATTAAAACAAAAGGCATACCCTGGCGCTGTTGGCCGTTTACCTAGCAAGCAAAAAAGCCCATGCGCCTATGTTTGCTTCTTGTGTGCATTTCCAGCACTTTCAGGGAGCTTTCTCTCAGACCCACCTCGCTTTACCAGGTCTATGGTCCATTTGGGCACGAGAAGGGGGACTCACCAACATGTCCCACCAATGTCCCACCAAAGTGTCCCACCAAAATGTCCCACCAAATCTGAGGCACTTGCCAAACAATTTCCACAACCACCTCCAGCTGTAACCTAGATTGCCCCACCCCTCCCAAGCCTTTTTTTCCTCAAGCACAATGTCCTCCTCAAGCAAGTTCCTGCGTTTTCCCCAACCACACTCCTGTCCTTCAACCCACTTCTGGACGTGTGTTATGAGGGTGCCCTTTACGGGTTGGTTGAAGCGCACACCAAAAGCGATCCCTGAAACCCGCCGCTTCTGAGGTGCCGGTGGGCTGCGCTGGGATCTTGGGCCTGGACTTCCTGACGCTCTTCGACTGGGACTTCGACATCAAAGGCTGCAAGGCGATCCCAGCCGTGGCGATTCCTTAGGTTTTTTTTTGTTTTTTTTAGTTGGTTCAGGGGTGGTGTCCATTTAAACCACTAAAGTGGAACTTTTAGCAGGGCGTCTGAGGACAGCCCAAACAATTTGGGTTTCCCGTTCTTCTTTATATGGATCTATTTGGTAGCGGATTTTTGGACTAGAACTGTTTGTTGACACAGGCGGGTTGAAGAGATGTAGAGAAAGTCACTGATATTTTTCTGTGTCCTTTTTGTGTTAGTTTTGGGTTGCGTGAAAGGGACACCAAAAGGACAGGCAACCTTTTGAGGTTCCCTCTTTGGAGACAAACTCGCCGGCGAGAACCGGAATGGCGACGGATTTGACCAACGAAGTCCGAGCCCAGAAACAGTGGCCGGAAAACAACCA